TGATTACTAAAATAGTATTTAAATGATTTAGCATGTGTCATTTTTAAGTATCACCCTCTAACATTGCATTCTAGAGCAGGAAATGAGACTGTATCCCTGAGCTTCAAGGCCCCATAGTGAGCAATTAGATCTCATTGTTTTGAAGTAAATGCGTCGCTAGCGTTTTTGGGTTATGCTCAAAATAAGCTAAAATTGTCTCTACTGAAACAGTCACAGCCAAAATATTGTTAAGATTTTGGTAGCACTGTGATTGTTTTGGTAGTGACAAAACATTGTTCATTCCATATAATAGAATTAAATAAACATAATTAAAGTACAGGCTCATTTAATGTAAAAGGATCTCAGTTTAAAGTCCAAAAGTGTGTTTTTGACCCTGACTTTGAACCAGTTTGGTAAAATGAGCCATATGTGAAGCATCTTAAATTACTTAATTGCATTTATTTTAGAAATGTAATCACTTGTGGATTTACAGTTTTTTGCCCCTGAAAAAAAAAAACAAAAAAAAACATGCAGTCTGTAGGTAGCAGCACTATTTCTGTAGAAAAAAGTTTATACCTAAGTTTATACCTCTCGGAGAATTTTCTCTGTTTTCTGGATCTGTGGACGTCTTCAAAGTTTGTCATATTAAAGCTGCAAATGCTGTGGGATTCACAAAACTACAAATAACACCAAAGGTTAAAACAAAACAGCACCGTACAACATCTTTAATGCAGACGTTAAAAGAGACCAGCTGTGTGTTGTAGTAGTCTGTACACAAAGTCGAAATTTAAGTGTTGGTGTTCTCTCATCTGTGGTACACAATGGATTAGGTTAATGTAAAATGCATTATATTACCTTGATATTAGCCTCCCTGCTGTGTTCATTTAATCTGGATTGAAAAGTCATCACTTTGGCCCAGGTAATAGATTTCTAGATGTTAAACTAAAGCAGTTGTTGTTGCTTAAGCCATTTATTTTTAGTTCTGTACATTAAAAATGGAAAGTATGGTAGTGTCAGTGCATGGAAAATTCTGGTGGAAGGAGCCGGTGGGTTCTTTGTGCCAACTCTAGCAACAGATTTAAATTATGCATTACTGGGGGCTCTTCTGTGTGACAGGAATGGAAAATATCTTCCCTTCGTTGATCCAGGGAGGACTGTGAAGCTTCACACTTAATATTTTTTTTTTCTTTTAAATTAAACAGAGTTTTCAACCTTGTGTCATATTCTTTTTTGCTGTTGGTTATTTATGCAAGTGATACAAAAAAGCAAATTGAACAGCAGTTTCTACCATAAATCATTTTCTTTTAGGCCTCAATAATTTCTTTGAGAGATTTTGAAACAGTTAAATTGGCTTAACAATACGTCACCAGTCTTACAATTGCTATTGAACAAATGTTTCATTCTTAATTGAAGAGAATTCACCTCCGTAGAAGATTATTTGAACTCTGAGCCTTGGTTTTAACCCTCTGGGCTCCATGAACTCACCAGTGCATCAGATTTGATGCTTCAATACATGTTTATATCTTTGCAATAATAAAGCACAGAAATACGGTTCAACCATTTTCAGAATCCGTAAAGTCGCCCTTTGCATTCCATTGCTTTGCAAGATTGTATGTGACTCACATCCAGAGTTATGAGCCTATGAAGAGGGGCTGAGATGCACGCCATCTGCCTCTCACTGTGTGCTATTGGTGGATTCGTGAATTTCTCTACATTCTGTGTGAAACTGACCAACGGACACTCTGGAAAATCAGTAAGCGCTGATCCATCACGTTGGAAACCCTTCATTCTTCATACGGTCCACATTGAACACGTGAAATGCAGTGCAAAAAGTTTACAGCCGCTGAAGTTGCTGCAGCAGTTTTGGAAAGTAGCAACAAAAATAATGAAGCATTTTGATATGAAACGTATGGGTATCGTGATTAATTTCATTCAAGAGCCCTTAAAGGCGAATTTAAGAAGATGTACAAAAATGGAGAAAATGCCCTGAGACCCCCGAGGGTTAAAACAGGCCTCACAGAAAACGTGTCTGTTTGATCTATGTGAGTAAACACTTTCTCTTTTTTTCCTTTAGGTTGGTGAAATCAATTAAAGCTCCAGTATTAATAACCATCAGCGAGGTCTTGGCAGCTGATTGCCTCAAGCTCCCCCCGTAAACCAAGGCTGCGTCTTCCCCAATGACTCGGGCACGCATCGATGCTTTTCATCGCTTCATAAGACAATAAAACTTTGTGCTGGGAATGATGAAAGGGAGCGAAATGGCTTTGACCAGAGCCTGCTGCGCACAATGCGTCACACAGGTGAATATGCCTGCTCACCTAATTGCATATTTTGTGGGGAATTGACTTTTCAATTTCACTTTGGGTGGTGGAGGGGTGGTGATGGGGTTGGTGAGGGTTTAGTTTTATTCCATCATGTATTTGGAACTCAACGCTCTGGCTGGATTTCGGGGGCCCCTGTAATATGATGTGGCACGCAGGCTGATGAATTCCCTCTGTAGCCGTCTGGAAGATTTCTATTCGGGCCTTCATTATATCCAAGTCCAAATATAGGCTAGCACTCAGGGCCGATATGCAAATAGAGGCAGAATCAGCTCCAGCGATAAGCTGTTCCCATTGTTTCAAGGGCTGCCGGTTTACGATAAAGCTTAATCAAAGATCAGGTCCATCTCATGAGCATTTGATATTTAGTGCTTCTCCACAGGAAGGTAAACATTCGGTACGTGGCATACATTTAACATGACGCTGTCTATTCAGCAGCTAATTACAAATAAGGATTTGTGCTTATTTTTGTGTCTAATCCTTTTGAATCAAAGCATGATTGTGAATATTAAAGCAAGCTATTGGCAAATTCAGCATAGGCTTACCCAGACCCACACTGGCGACCACAGCTAATCCGGGAAAAGTCGGAACATCCGAATTTTGGTTTCATTGTTTATTTTCTATTCACTAAATGTTTACTAGATCGACCACCTGGGGGGCTTTCACTGATTCATTTCATTCAACAAATAATTATGACATCAATATTTAGATTTGCACATGTTTTTGATTTGTCTGTGTCTCATCCAAGTTATGTAAAACAAGACTTCTGTGAAATTACTTTCAGTATCCAGCGACTAGGCTGGCTGCCATAAGCCACCGGCAAGTCTTTCGTCATCTGCAAATTTGTAGTGCATGTTTTTTGTTTGTGTGCACGTCTGCAGGTCTACATCTAAAATGTCTGCACTGTTCTATAGCTATTCTTCTTCGGTCACACATATGATATCATTTCAATGCAATGTTTTCAGTCAATGATTTCTCAATACCTTCAGGCAGGTACTTGTCAGCTCCCATAGCAATTCAGTGGAATGAAAATCAACTGCAACTTAACTTTAAATCAAACTGCATGAAGATTATTTGTATCATGCAGTGGTGTGATTCATACTTACCGTCAACACTGCTTCCCTTAGTGGCAAATCACTGCTGACCCCAAGGGTGCACCCGGCAAAAACTGCTTAGCAGTGCAGAGGTGGGATTCAGTTTGAGGCCCTTGAGATACATCGTCGTTGGATGGCGCTTTTACTTTTCCAGTCTGGAAATGGACTGGAAAGATAATGGGTTCCAGACTATAGCTAAATTACAAAGAAGGTTATGTTTTTAAAAATACTTGATATTAAGATTATTTACTATTGTGCAGTACACACTCCGAAAGCCAACACGAATCAGAAATCATAATGGCATACACTAATCAGGCATAACATTATGACCACCTCCTTGTTTCTATGCTCATTGTCCATTTTATCAGCTCCACTTACTATATAGGTGCACTTTGTAGTTCTACAGTTACAGACTGTAGTCCATCTGTTTCTCTGCATACTTTGTTAGCCCCCTTTTACCCTGTTCTTCAGTGGTCAGAACCCCATAGACCCTCACAGAGCATTCTCCGCACTGCAGTAACACTGACGTGGTGGTGGTGTGTTAGTGTGTGTTGTGCTGGTCTGAGTGGATCAGACACAGCAGGGCTGCTTTCCCTTTTAAAGTTACCTTTTATAGGTAGAGACTATACAATTGTACTCTAAGTTGCCGGTTTATTAGGGCCTCTTTTTTTTAGGGACTCGCAACATTTTATCAGTTATTAACACTACCTATAATGCATTATATTAACAATTAATAATGTATAATAAACATGGCTGTAAAGTGTAATTCAGTGTAATTCATTTTTAGAAATATGTATAACCATGTTTATAAAGCCTATGAATACATTATAATGTTATAAATGTGTTTATAGATGCTTACAAATGTTACGTTCATGGAAAGTGTTACCAAAAGTTCTTCACCCTCACGCAACTCATTTACAAGATTCTTTAAAGAAGCAATCTATTGAAGGCCTCTATAAAGAAACAAAACGTAGTTCTTCTAAGGTGCAGTACCAAAAAACCCTTTCTGGTACTTTACTTTTTAAGAGTGTAGAAGAGCGTGATTCATGCATCCTTTCAGCATTACTTTTCTCAATGACAAATCACTTTTGACCTCTACTCGGGCCCTTTCCTCTCTGTGGTGCCTAAGCGGTCCTGACTCCACTCTCCACCGAGACTCTTCTCCGCCTCTGGGAGCTTGTTGTTTTTTTCCTGGATGCGCCACTCGGCTGCAAATGGTCTCTCATGCGTTTGACTTTCCTCTTAAGCAGAATGACAGAGGGTTTTACGGTGCGTAATATCGCACCCATGCAAGTTGGTCACTGACATGCGTGGTGTGAACAGACGGTTCCACCTCAAAGACGTACAATTTGGAGGATTTGTATTTATTTATTTTTAGCACGCTTCATTTCTTGGGGCGTCGGGGCAGTAGTGACGTCGGTGGTGATGACATACACGTCAGCGTTGACTAAGGGTTGCTGGTTCAGGTTATGCATAATTCCACGCCTTAAAGTGTATCCCTGTCTATGGGAAGTGATGAGGAAAAGGGGAAAGGGGGGGTGAACTGGAGGAAGGGGCGTGTCTTTATAAGAGAGGAGAGAGAGTGGGTGCAGGCAAGCAGTTGAACGAGCCTAGAGGCTGAGAGGGGTTGGACACTGCTGCATCACTTTGAGAGTGGGTGGAGAAAGAGAGAGAGAGTGAAAGAGAACACGTCCCCTACTCCACAGCACAGGTAAGACAAGGTGACATGTTCTGCTGTCCGTGTGCGTCCATGTATATGTGAGAGGTCAGTGCTTTGGAAGAAAGGAAAAGTGAAGTTGTGCTTTGCTTGTATTTCACCTGATATCATTCTCGACATCTGGAGGGCTAGTTCTGTTCTTTTTCCTCCAGTTTACTTACCACCATTTGTCAGCACTTTATTTGTTTATTACTCCATAAGGGAAGTTCATTAAGCAGGTGTTAAGTAGTGCTTTTCATATTCCCTGACTGTGCAGCTCTTTAAATAACCGCCTTTTTCCATCCGTCATTGCTTTTCCCCATGGACCACTATCTGACAACACCACTGCTGAAAGTGTACTACACACGGTTGCTCCAGTGATGAGCCATATGTAGTGTTTTTTTTTACATTATTAACAAAGTGTCCTACCCACTTTTGAGGTTGTTGTCCACTTTGTTATTAAAGTTCATGTAAAATTGAGGCAAAGCACTATTTGTGCTATTTTTCTGGACAGAAGAACCTTCTAAGTTTGATTGTCTCCGTCGGCCTGAGCTTTGATCTGGAACACCTACGTGGCTGATGCTTCTTTGAAGCTAGTGGAGACTGATGTGGGGTAATTTTGCCCTCTAATTGCGTATATTTTGGCAGACAGCTTTGTCAGGAAGTGCTTTGCTTCAGCTATGATTAAATGAAACTTAATCTGAACACTCTTTGCGGGAAGCTCCTAATTGACCTCATACCAACAGTGCAGAATTTCTATTTTTTTTCCATCATTCCACTTCAGCTCATGTCAGTGCAGGACTTATTATGCCAGCAACAAGTGTTCCAACTGCATATTTCCTCTCATAAAGCTCAAAACATCTGCCATAAGCAGGAGTACGGTCAAATTTTATGAGAATTTTGCAATATCCAAATTTGCCGGTAATTTTTGTTTTCATTAAATGTCTAGAAGTGTTTATTTTCCTTTATGTCTGATGAAAAAACTCACTTTCCAACAGTACAATCATACATAATCAACCGAAAATAATTAGTATAAGTCATTTTATATATCTTTATTTTAAATTATTAGAAATTAAAAAAGCAGAATTTTACATGACTGGTGGAAAAGCTAAATTTGAGAACTGACAAAAAAGAATAGCAGCAAAAATGGGCAGATTTTTTTAGGGAGGCGTTTTGGTATCAGGGATTGTTTGTCATTGCCTTGACACGCAGCGGTTTTTCTCCGTTCGCCTGGACTGAAATGTCCAGCTGTAATTTCTCCCCTATCAGGAGTCTAAGTATGCGTTTCATGCCTTTCAAGACAGTATTGAGGCTGCAGACAGCATTTGTCCCGGTCCCTGTAGAGTGTAGATTCAGTGTCCGGTCAGCATGAAGCTTTTATCAGATGTCCCCTCTGAGGCGGATGTAATATCTCTGTACATTCATGACTGCTTTTATTCATACATCTCCCTCACTGCATTAACCTCTACATACACACTTGTTTTTCCTGCGTGTTCCCCCATGAGGACAGTTTCCGAAAGAATAATGAATATGACTAATGGGCCCCATGATGAAATTCATTAAATCCTTTTTTTTTACAGTATAAATTAAACATGCCTTGACATTTTTGCCTCTTTGTCAAAATTTCCACTGCATTAGAGAAGCCGTTTCTCATATTAATTGCTTTTAACATGTTATATTGATACAAAAGCCGTTAAATTGGGGACATTTCATGCATAATTGCCTACATCTATCAGGAAATTAGTGCATGTACCACAAGGATGTAAATCTATTGAGCCAGTTCATGTGCACACAGGCTTTTCTGCTCACGTTGTCAATGTTTAAGGGTGTAGATGGAGTCTGAAACATGCAATATGTCAATGGTAAGTGAACAGAAAAGCCCTCCTCTTAGACCATTCCTATTGGAAAATATGCACAACCTAATCTCTCATAGACTCATAACACATTCATGATGCATTGGAACAAAGGTGCTTTGATTCTACTTGATTCACATGAGTCAATCAGTTGCACAAGAGTAAAATATGTTATATCAACACAGTTCTGGGAAGAAAGCTGACAGCAACTGTGCTGATCTAATACACATTATTAAAGTGCAACCGATGGACACATTTGCGTCATGCAAATCAAAAGGCCTCATTCTTTTCAGTGTAGAGCCTGAAAGGCAGGGTCGTCTGTTATAAGAGGGTTTCGAGTCTTTTGTTCTTGTACCAAGTACAGGAAAACGTGTCAGAATTCATGGTAATTGACTGTGTGCTACAGATGTGGCAGAGCGATTAGGTTGGAAAATGCCGGCGTATTCCTTTAAGTGTCTGAAATGTCCTACCTTTTGTGGTCGTGACGTTTTTCAGTGGAAAGAAATCCAAAGAGATTTGCACAAAGCCATTGTGTCACAAAAGTGCTGGCGATGGTGCAATTTGATACGGTTCATGCACTTGACTGACCAGGAAGACCCTATATTGGCAACTCCTGAACTTTCTTGCTTCAGAGAGCGCTTCTTCGGAGTGTTTCTGAAGGACTGTGTGGAAAAAAAGAAAACAGGCTTTTGTATCTGAAATGTCTCCTTGGGGCTGTGTGGATGGATCTGTCTGCACCAAATTGATCTGCACTGCTCCTTCATGAGGCTATTTCAATACAGCACCCCCTCCTCGCCCCCCAAGTCATCATCATTTCAAATGGATGCAGTGGCACATGAAACTGAGTACTTCAGATTTAGAAAATGTGACGGACCAAGTGTGCAGTCTCATTCCTATCCATTTTCCGCTGAAATTTAGCCCATGGTGGCGGCTTGATTGAGTTCTCTACTTACTTCTTTAAGTGTCTCTGCCAATCGCCCTTCAATAATCACTCCCTCAGATGCTTTTATGATGGATTCCATCCCTTTTTCCCATGGGCACTGGGAGGATAATGTAGTGATTGCTGTTGCTTTGCCTGTGGAGACACAGTGCAGTGGAGGGGGACTAAAGTCATCGAAAGCCGGATAGCAAAATACCCATTTTGCCGTAGATTCCGCAGCCCCCGGGCTATCAACACACTCTCAATTAAGGCAACTGTGTGAATGCATCCGTTCCTGTCTGAAAATGATTATGACAATGAGAAAAGGCTTGATGATTATAATATGATTCTATGGCGAAGGGCAAAATGTAATTGCTGGATGTAGCCAAACAGGTGGGCTTTCATTTGCTGTGTAATAAACATAAAATTAAATGCATTTAAATTTAAGAGGGCCAATTCTCATAGGGGGGCAATAGGATCCAGACAATGAGAGAGTCCATGCTCCCATGGCTCTGTAAAATAGACAGGCTTGAAAATACATTTTCCCATTTAAAGTTACCTTTAATAGGCAGAGACTGTACAACTGTACTCTGAGTTGCCAGTTTATTAGGGCCTTGCCTCTTTTTAGGGCCTCGCAACATTTTGTCAGGGAGACCTACAGTATATGTGTACTTTTTTACAGTTACTGACTGTATCACAACTGTATACTGAGTTGCCAGTTAGTATGTACACTTGCATCACACCAACTGGGCATTTTATCAGCTTAAGACTGCATAGAATGTACTACGTAGGTTTACTGCGTAATTTATCAACAACCCACAATTCATCAATGGAAAGGGACCGCCACAGGATCGTACTTGATTACACTATTTGAATGGTGGGCCGTTCTCAGCACAGATGTGATACCATCGTGGTAGTGTCATGGTAGTGTGTGTTGCACTGGTATAAGTGCGTTGGGCGCAGCAGCGTTTCTGGGATTTTTACACCCCTCAGTATCACTGCTTGGGTGATAATAGTCCACCAACTTAAAATATACAGCCAACTGTGGTCACAAACTTTGCCTGTGAGGACATTTATTTTTGGCCCACCAGAAAGTGACTTTAACCCCCTCACCCAATAAGAGAAACTTATTTTTATACTCTATGCAACTTATTAAATTCTATATTTTTAAAAAGTATTTTAGTAACAAAATATAGTCTAATGTTGTAAATTACTTTTTTAAAGACTGAAAATTGTTTTGTCTTGTCGCTTTTGGCCCACCACAAACTTTGCACTTCGGCCTTTGAGTCTGGATACCCCTCGGCTAGAGGATGACTAATAAAATTATGCATGGCATAGACATAGTACAAGTTAAACCAGTAAGGTAGATGTGTCTAATAGTGACCAGTAAGTGTACACAGTGTGTAAAACCCCCTGTAGCACAGCTGTGCACAACATACTCTAACAAGCCACTACCATGTTGATATAAGCCCTATGTTGAGAATTGTCCACCATCCAAAATCTGGTCAGCGGTATTCCTATGGTGGTCCTTTTCCATTGGTGGACAGGGTAGAGGGTAATTGACAAATTGCACCACAACAGATGGGATACTGTCAGTGATTGCAAACCTAAGTGCACCTTTATGGTAGATGTACCTGATAAAATTGCCAGTGAATGTAGATACAAAGGAGCTAATAAACCAGCAACACAGCATATAACTATAGTCTACCACTGTAGCTTCATATTAGGGTTATACAGTACTCTGGGAGATGTCCCAAAGATGTCCCGTAAGAAACACAAGGTTACCCAACAGCATTATTTTGATAGACACCATACTGCAGACATCCAGACTCATCTGTCTGACCCAGCCTGTGACGCAGTTCAATCAGGCGTTAGACTGACCCTGGCAAGGAGCAGAATGAAAATGGGCCTGACTGTTTACTGTGGAGGCGATAGCATCAGGTGGCTCCTCCGTGGGAGAAGGTGAGCAGGCCGCTCTAATCGGATTAAGATTGCTTCAGATTAGTAATTTCACAGCTCTTCCCTGAGGGCACGCTAGCGGAGGCTCACAATCAGATCATCTCTGCTGTAGGGCAGAAAGCAGCAGCCCCACACAAACACCTTCGACGAGCCGTCACATTATTGGCAGAGGGTGTCGAAGGCCAAGTACAAGACTTTTGCTTTGGGAACTGTGAAAAAGGGGTGTTTACTGAGCCTATATTTCATAAGCCATGGCTAAAGTTTCAAAACATGCCATTCCCTCCCCAGTCCACGCTGTCCATATGTGGAAACTAAAGTCGGTAACACTTTACTGTAGGGCACAGTACATGACATGCACATAAGCTTGCCATGACAACTGGCATAACCCTACATAAATGTTTATAAATGCTTATTCCAATAGGCATCATCTGTCATAAATGCCTCTTTAGCTAACTTGGCATATACAACCTTTATTGCAAATGACGTCTGTTGGAATAGGCATTTATAAACATTTATGTAGGTCTATGTCAGTCGTCATGACAAGCTTATGTAGATGTCATGTAGCCTTATGAACCGTACCCTACAGTAAAGTGTTACCCTAAAGTCTATTCGAATTCATCATGGTTGTCATGTCCCAAGCATGAACTCATTCGCTTATGTTCACCCATTTGACCTATAGCTGTTTATTGAAGTGATACAGAGTGTTGTTACTGCAGACGGTCTGGAGGAGAGTTACTGGAGTGGAAGGTGCGGCATTTAAATGATTAAACGCTGTGCTGTTCCTGGCTGTCAGGAAGCAGATGCATCACTGCATCATTTCAAAGAATCCAGAATTTCTTTTTTCCAAAGTCTCTGATGATTTTAAACTTGATTTCGGTCCTTCCAGATTGCTTTTTGGATGAGACACAATACAGGATGACCAATCAGAGCAGATGCTATTTACATAAATCAGTCTCAAAGACAGTAACAAAAACAGACTGTTTAATTCTAAGGTTGGAAGATGGTCATGTATAACACAGTCATGCATAAAACTGCAGAAACATTTAACGTTGACTTCTTGGGGGGGCACTAAATACCTTCCCATGAGCCACTTTCTGTTAAACCTACAATCATGCAGGTTTTAAAGTGGGTTATGAGTTTGTTCTTATTATGGTTACGTTTGAGCACAGAGTAGAAGAGCGACATTAACAGTGGTTGAGAGAGTGAGAGAATGTCGCCGATGGTCCTTTGTCTCTCACAGTGTAATCAGTGGCCTCACACTGTCTGCTTTTAATTCTCCCCATTATCTCTGACAAACACATTTAATAAGAGATTATAGCAGGGGAGATAATAAAAAAGAGTTTCCGTCAAGTAACTGTTAGAAAATTAATCGAGCCACATTAATGGTTCGTGAGATTTAATTGGCCGGAAAATGCTTTTTGATAATTCTCCCATCAAGAATGGCCTGAGTGCCCACATTCTTATAGGGAGTTGTAATTGCTGCTTTAGTTTTTGTTCACTAAACACAAAGTTTTAAAGGAAATACCCGAACTTTTCGCGCAGCTTCATCACGGTTCAGGAGTTGATTTTTTTTTGGCTTTCATCACACAGTGTGTTTAGAGGTGTGTGTGTGTGTGTGTGTGTGTGTGTGTGTGTGTGTGTGTGTGTGTGTGTGTGTGTGTGTGTTCTGGCCCTAATGTCGTCGTGACTAATGTGTGCTGGCGGAGCGAGTGAGTCAGAGTTTGACGGGAGTCGCATTCTCGCTCTCTCGCTCTGGTTCTCTGCCTCGCTCTCTCTCTCTCCTCATTTCCTCCTCATTATACCACACACACTAATTCAGACATCAATTAAGGCCTATGATGAGTTTCGTTAATGAACTCTAGAATTGGGGGGAAAAACAGATGGTGAATATTTAATTTTAACATCCTTAACATAATATGTGCTAAGAAAGAGTAATCAGAAGATAAAGACTCTGTCGTTGTTGATGAAGAGTCCATTGTTGTTGCAGCATGGTTGGAGATATGGACCAGTGGCCAGAAGGTTGGTGGTTCAAGGCCCAGCTCTGCTCTATCCAAAGCCATTTTGTTCTTGAACAAGAACCTTCGCTCAATCACTCAAGGGCCCTGGCTGAACTTGGATATACACAATTAATCGGTGTAGAGCATAAAAATGCATTTGTGGGCATCATTAATCATGTTTGGTGTCAGTAGCAATGCTGCAATGTGGTTGTTGGTACACTTTTTAAAAAACAGTGGTTCTTAACTTGGACATACAGTTCTAGGAAAAACCTTGTATTGGTATAAAACCTTTACACCGTGTACAGGTTCTTCAAAGTTCTTCAGACTCATGCCTCATTTACAAAAGTGGTTCTTTAAAGAACCAACCACTGGATGAATGTTTTTGCTCCAAAGAACCTTTTCAGCCACCTTTATTAAGACAGTACGAAAATGATTATTGGGTGTCAAAACGTGAGTGCTGAAAATATATATGGCCAAAAGTATGTGGACACCTCTCCTAATGATTGAGTTCAGGTGTATAAGTTCAAGCACACAGCCAGGAAATCTCTATAGACAAACACTGGCAGTAGAATGGGTTGCACTGAAGAGTTCAGTGGCTGGCTTTATACATGGCACTGTCATTGGATGCCACCTTTGCCACAAGTCACTTTGTGAAATTTCTTCCCTGCTAGATCTGCCCCAGTCAACTGCAGGTGCTATTATTGTAAAATTGGGAAGCATCTAAGAGCAACAACTGTTCAGCCACAAAGTGTTAGAACATGCAAACTTATAGAGCCAGGCTGCCAAGTGCTGAAGCGCGTAGCATGTAAAAATCCTCCAAACTGGCTCTGGCAGCAATATCACAGCACAAACTGTGCATCAGGAGCTTTGTAAAATGGGTTCCCATGGCCAAGCAGCTGCACACAAGCCTAAGATTGCTATGAGCAATTCCAAGTGTCAGTTGAAATTATGCAGTGAAATATTTGCTTCCTGACAGCCAGGAACAGCACAGCGTTTAATCATTTAAACACCACATCTTCCACTCCAATCGCTCTCCAGAACATCTGCAGTAACAACACTCCTTATCACTTAACATAAATAAACTGCTATAGGCTGAATGGGTGATCATATGTGAATGAGTTCATGGTTGTGACATGACAACCATGATTGGGGAGGGAATGGTATGTTTTAAAACTTTAGGAATGTTTTAATCAAACTCTTTTTTCAAAAAAGGAACTAAATTCTTCCATGATATAAGCCCTTTTAACGTTACAATCAAAGACTGCATGCAGTTGATGGTGTAATGCACTGCTTAACCCTTCAACATATTTCTTCCATTTAGCGAGTCCTGTAACCTGTTGGATCCCATTTGAACCCGTTTGTCTTGGTGTCTTCTGTGAAGAAGCCATGAAGACCCCACTCTGGACCCTTCTGTTATTGAGTTTGTGTGTGCCGGGTCGCAGCGACTGCCAAGGGGATTGTTTAACCTGCGCACTTCTCCTGCCTCAACAGCAAGCCTTCAACACCCTTGTGAGTCACCAATTACTCTCTCTGCATTCTCTGTCGTCCTTTATTATTCACTCTTTCATGCACAGTGCCAGTCAAAAGTGTAGATACATCTACTCAATGAGGGATCTGTTTTCACCATTTTTTGCATTTTAGAATAACAGTGAAGATATCAAAATCATGAAATAACGAATATATTTCGATAATTAATTAATTAAATATTTTTAATAATTAGATGACAAACATAGACATCAACCTTACTATATACAATTTTCTTAGAAAGTTCACTATTAGTTCATTTATGCTTAAACCTTTTAAACAAAATGTCTTTAATTACAAAACTGTGGTTGATATATAATAGTGGGTATCACCACTGCCCTCCATGTGACAGACTGGGGTTTGATTTACCACCAGCACACCATGCATACCAATAAGAGTCCTTGGGCAAGACTCCTAACCAGTGCCAGCTCTTCCCAATTAAGTGATGTAAGCAGCTACTTAGGGTCACACGGCCACCAGTGGGACCTCTAACAACTTCTGTGTAATAACTGTACCATTATGTTGTCTAAGACGTTCGAGTGAGGGGGAAATAAGCAACAACAAAAACCAGAAAAAGATGACATGTTGTTTTTTTTTTGTGGTGTTAACATTATGCCATTTGTCTTAGACTGTAGTTGGACAACAAGAAGTAGACGATCTGGGGTCTGTCTTAGACGAGCTTAGACAGACTCACAAAACCTAAAAAACAAACAACTCATTTTACAACAGTGGTTAACAGTGTTCTCTGTTAATTCAGATTTAGAGACTCAGGCTGTGATTAATTCTTGTGCACATTAAAGGATGAAGAACGGCCAATTGTGTGAAACATGAGGAGGATTCACCACAGAATGAAAAGAAAGATATACTACCAAAATTTGTAGAGAGTAAAGCATTTATAACAGTAAAGAAGTAGTGCTGTCACAATTGCTACCAGGATAGAATAAGCTTAGACTAAGACTAAACAAAGATTAAAGTTAGCTGGGTAAGCAAGTAATGGTGGGTTGTGAGAAGACCTCTGGGTGGAGATTGCTGAGAATGTTTATTTAAATTGTAGCTTACTAGAACCTCAAAGGAGCATTCAGTCATTAGAAATATACACATTAGACAGTTATAAATTTATATAACTTGGACAGCTTGTGATAGTCATTGTTATTAGTCAGCCTCTAATTTTATACACACCAGCTAGGAAGATGGTGAGCCCCCGAAAAATACAGCTTATGCCCCTCAAAAGGCTAAAGCCCACCCTTCTACAAGGCTACATTTGCCTACCACTGTAAAACTAGGATAATGTCAATCTGGATAAGAGCATCTGCCAGATGTTCTAAGTGTAAACAGCCATACAATCCATCAAATGTATCATTTTCACCACTACTGTATGTGTTGACATCATTCAGGTGCAACCCCAACAATGTTTTGACACCCCCCAAAAAAATCTCTATCCATAGCAGCAGAAAGAAAAGGTAAGCCAAAAAGGGCCCTTGATGCTTTAATGTAGTTGCTAATGGCTACGTAGACCCAAACAGCTGTGGCTGAGATGATTAGGGTAATATTTGTTCATAATTGACTGGAGGAGATTCAGCTGCTGATGTTGTGGGTGGCAGTGACTGACACTTAGTGGTGGTGGTGAGGGGTGTGGGTAGGTTTTGCGAGGTCGGGAGGGGGACACATGGGTACTTACGAAGGCCAGATGGACCCCCTCAGGGACATTTTTCCAGTGTGGAATCACAAGGGCAAAAAACCTCATACTATCGTCCTCAGTCGCACGTACACCCGCATCACCGTACCTGTTATGTATGCATATGAATATGTATGAATATGTATCTTATTTAAACATATTGTATGTACAAACTCAATTGCTCAACTGCAGACATCTACGCTTGTCATACACACAGTACATGTGCAAACAAAATCCTTTGCTTTTCTATCTGTTGGCTTGGCGAAACCTCTGCAGTCTGCATTTCATTTGCAATGGATAATTAATTTCAGCAAATGTACGCATACCGCTCCCGGTCAAAGCCTCCTGCTATATGGTGCTTCTACTTTTTTATGGGTTTTTCCCCAGCGGTGAAGATTTCTACTTCATTTCCAATAGACATTCTGCCTCACTTGGCAAATTATAACCCTTACCTACACCCACGTGCAGTGTCACAGCCACATTATGATCCACAGAACCTGTATCCCTGGGCTCTAATGATCTGGGGCACAATGACGATTTATGCTCTGTCCTTTCACCCTCTAATGGCCAGGATTTACTCATGTCATTTCACCATCCATTGCACTGATAGGTCTATTCTGGTAAAATCTCATTTGTGTAACCCAGTGGTCACCAGCCCCCTTCCTGGAAATCTACCTTCCCGCAGGCTTTAGTTCCAATCCAAACCTGCAACATCTGATCTGGCTAACTATTTCAAAAAAGACTTGGTTAGTTCTATTTTGTGCATTAGATCTTAATCCCTGCATTCATATTACACAACATAAAGGTACCCTCAGACTCCCCTCCCACACTCTGGGGAATCCACATGCGTCTTAGAGGGCATTCTGGCCGCTTTTCCACTATACAGCCAAATGGTTCTCAGGGCCGTACCGGGCCTTTCCATGCTGGTCCGGACTTGTGAGACCAGTTATGGTTTTTGTTTCCATCTGTTGTACCACTAAATCAGAACCAGGAAATAAAAAAGAAAAGCACACAAACGAATGGGTAACTGCTAACAGGCTAATCACAACATACACGCCACCCACCACTTTCTCGATATTGTCTGTTCTATTATATGTCTGAATTCATGGTGAATGAAAGACTTTTAAGGACTCTTCTGTACCTTCGTAACGCGGTTGCTTGCCGGCTGTGATCCGGCACAATGACTCTGACATCACAGTGGTTAAACAGCATGAAACAGAACGTTACAGACGCCAACACCAGCCCCGCTCTGGGCCAGCGCCGCTTACTGACTGTGACCGTGAGCCGAGTGAGAACAACTTACAGCCAACTCCGGGCCAGAGTTGTTGGCGGTCTGGGACGTTTGATTCCGTCTGTCACTCCAACTCCGGGCTCTCGGCGTGCTCTCATCTTGTTCATCCTCTAAATGGGTGTTATTTGAGCATCTGTTACTGAAACAGACTGTGCTGCGGTGGGTTTCACCTGTAGCCGGATAACTATATTAGCATTAGCATTGCCCAGCAGGGTAGAACTCAAAGCACCACAGAACAAGTCTATTTTTTATCTTTCTGTCACTTTAACACCAGTCATTCGAATTTGTGTTTGCATCTCTTTAGCTAAGTTATCTAGGAGAGAAGAGCTGGCCAGCATTAGCTTAGCTAGGAGGCTCCAGCTTCAGACACCAGAGAAGAGGTTAATTTCAGCCTTCTGTCCCTCTAACATCAGCCACTCGGCTTCGCTTCCTCAGATATGAGTCATTATCATCTAAATTTGTGTCAGTGAAGCTTTTGTTAGTCAGAATCGAATCTGTTCTGTGGTGAGCAGCGCTGGCAGCATGCTAGCTAAGCTAACGCTAACCAGCTACTCTCTTCCAGCTGGTTAGGCAGCGACGTTTAACATTTAGAAATTGGTTTTAGATTGAAGCTTTGATGTTTATCGAATGATGGATTTAAAATCGTGCACTGAATTTATTGAATGCTTTCGGGTTTGACGTAGCACAGCAGGATGTGATATAAACATAGAACCGATCAGCGAACAGCTACGTCGTTACATCATCCCACCAAACGGTTCTGTGGTCCCGAGTACGGTTAAGCGTTCCGCGTCGAACCGTGTCCGTGTGGAAACCCCACTGGAACGGATGCCCTCTGTGCTCAGAACTGTTTGGCCCTGCAGTGGAAAAGAGGCCTCAGATTCAAAAGGCTTGAAAGAAGCTTCAACCGGTAGAACCTTGATCCCACAGTTTGACTTGAGTGAGCGAGTCAGGCAGTACTATACAGGGTGTCCCAAAAGAATTGACATCATTTGAGATGTGAATATCTGAGTAACTACATGTCCTGGGCAAACAAAATTAAATAGGCTTCATGTTGAACAAGATTTATTTATCAAAAGCTTCGCAAATGTAATATCTTCCAGTACTGGTGGTCGTCCAGATCCCTTTGTCCTGCACAGACAGCCTTCCTCTTTGAATTTTTTGTGCCGTGTCCAAATCTGCTTTCCAGTTTGTGCATTATTATTGAATTTTCTTGAAAATGGGCGCTGCACACTCTTGTTTGACTGTGTTCGAGCATATTCTAACACACAAAATGCCTCTTAATTTCTAGTGAACGCCATTCTTCAACCTGAAAAAAAAAACATTAAAAATTAAACTTGGTTAGTTTTACACATTTTGTTAAAACTTGAGATCATTTGAGGGAGAATTGGCTATGTCATTAGACTACGAAATGATGTCAATTTTTTGGGGACACCCTGTATTTAAGCCTTAGAACACGAGAGGGAGTGTGTTATCGCGAAAGAACATCACGGCTGTGATTTGGTCGCCGTAGATCATCACAGCTGTGATGTTATACGCGATAACACACGACCTCGAGTGTTCTATTGCTTTTATGCAACAGTTAAATAAATAAAGTAATAAATTAATAAACTGGGCCGTGAACGCGGCGTTTAATATGTTTTGATGTTCGCAGTTCCTTCCGCCAAATTATAGTTCCTTAACAAGCAGCTTGTTGCTACGTCAGAGTAACGAGCTCCGCCCACTCGCTGCTCAGCCGGCAGTTCGTTCTCCAGCTCCTTACACTAAATTCCCAAACTGTCATCACCACTGAGCAGCTTTTTTGTTTTTTTATTGCAGCAGTTTTATGGCTCAGTCTGATTTGGTCAGACTCTGAAGATTTCACTACACATTTGGCGAATGGTGTTGGGTTCATTTCTGGCTGATTCCAGGTTGTTTAGCTGTTCTTCTGCCACAGCTGCCGACTGAAAAGCTGCTCAGTGGTGATGACAGTTTGGGAATTCAGTGTCGTCTCATCTTCAGAGTCTGACCAAATCGGCTGTCGGTCAAATGTGATCTTGAAAGTATCCATTTTCTGTTTGTGGCAAAGTAAGAAGTAAAAAAGTTAAAATGGCTTGAGCGTCTCCTACAGCTGTCAAACTCGTTGCTTAGCAACGGCGTCTCAGCGGAGTGATACAGTGTTTGTGAAAAACCTGTGATGTTAGGGCAAAATATTAGCACGGTTAGAACGCTTCTCAACCAATCAACTTGCGTGGCCGGAACTAACTGTTTTATAACACAAGATACATTTCGATTTTTCACCATAACCAGGCCAAAGAGCTGCACTCACACGATATAGTTTAAACTAATGCTCAATAGAATAAATAATGTTCTCATAGTCTTTGCACGCCAAATGCATGATTTCCGAAAGTCACTCGCAGCCTGCGGCCCCACAACTGACCACAAAAGCTTCCACGGCCCCCCAGGAAGACTCCATTTACCCAGTGTAATTTTCTGACTCACCTAATGGAATGGCAGCTACCTGGATGTCAGGCTAAAGAGGATAGTTACAAACGGAGGTCTGGCTCACAGGTTTAGATGTATACCTGCTATGTTTAGTCTCCAAGTGACAGTGTAAGTTTTTCAGCTTCAGAGCTTAATTTGACAAGACTGAGCACACAAAGCGGAGCGGTAGGGTTTTTGATTTCTATGCACATGAACCCTGGTGATAGGTACTGTGTCCTCTCTGTTTCAGTGGCTGCTTCCCTTGTAGATGGGACAGCCTTGGGACCTTTTCTTTCCCAGAAAGCAAGAATATATCAGTTCCCTGGCTTGATAAGGTCGGCACCCGCTGACTGTATGCTACCGCTGGCCCTCGGACCACCCAGTTTATTGCCCTGTTTATTAAGCTCTAACTAGTTTTTAATCTCCCCGAACAAATACACACATACATAGCGTTTTATTTAGAAAAAAAAACTTAGGCAAATATTACAAACAACTGAGACAAAAAAATAATGAGGCCTAATATAAAGGAAATGTTGTTGCTGACAGTGTGTTAAAATTAAAAATATTAGTAACACTTTCCATGATTGTCACCTTTGTAAGCATCTATAAACACGTTTATGACATGTTATAATGTATTCATAAGGCATTATAAACATGGTTATAAATATTTATAAAAAAAGAATTACACTGAATTACACTTTTTAGCCATGTTTATTATACATTATGAATTGTTAATATAATGCATTATAAATAGTGTTAATAACATGTTATAATGTTAGTGCCAAAGAAGTCAGTCCCAGCTTGGAGAGCGTAAAGTAAAGACAAATACCAAGCTAACGGTGGTGTACATTTTTATAAATATTTATAGCTGTTTATAATGTATTTATGCATTATAACATGTTATGAATGTGTTTATAGATGCTTACAAAGGTGACATTCATAGTGTTACCAAAATATTTACTAAACTTATTTATAAAGTATAACTAAAGAAAGGAAGGTAGGAAAAATAAGTAAATTGGTCTGTGAGTGGAAAATGAGCAATGATAAGTGGAATTTTATCGAATATCAAATACTCTGCTTAACCACTGGTGGGCCTTCCAGAAAACGCTGAGCCAAACGCCAGTGGACCACCAGCTTTGCCATCAGCGGCCCAACAGTGGCCCACTATCCTCTTGCTATTAGGGTTTGAAAGACCCTGTATGTAGATATTTATCCATGATGGATGAATTATATACACTGTCAGAATAAAGGTACTGTGCAGGTACATTTTTCATTTATCAAAGTACAAACAATGTAAAAGTACCTTTAAAGGTACTAGAATGGTACATTAAATACGTTTTTTCCCAGGTAAAGAGGGGACATAATTATACCTTCAACAAATTATGAAAAATGTTTTTAAAACATAGCAATAAAATAAAAAGCCAGGAGACAAGACAGGGTGTGTGGAGTCAATACAACTTAGAAATGATAAATTCAGTGGAATATGTTGTAATTATGTTCCCTAACTAAAGATGAACTGAAGATGAACCCTGGACGGTACCACCCTAGTGGCAGCAGGGGTGCCACCCCAGTGACCATTTAGTATGTACAATCAAAAAGAGAAACGTGTAACTTACACTGAAAATATCATTATAGCTACCTAGCATTTTGCCAGACCAGTCAGCAAACTCAGCATAAATATGCTGTTTTATTTTTTGCACATAATTATTACAACAATATTTATCATATTTAAAATGACATTTGGTTATACATCTATATGTTGTTAAAAATGACTGATTTACTGCTGCTAAAAAGGCAATCCTACAAAACTGGATCACACCTGGAATCATTTTGGGTTGTTAATTTATTTAACATAGCGAAACTTGAATGTACTGCTGTGCAACATAACCATGCTAACCCCATGACTGTTGAAACATGGTAAACATTTGTGTTACATATTTTGGATTTCCTGCAAAGTATGCACTGAATACGGACACTTCCTCCTTTATTTAATTTTGTCTGTGAACATGATTGTACCTATGATCACTCTTGCTGTCCACGTCTCTTACTTCATTCTTTTATTACTTCATTTAGTCTCTCTGTTGCTCCCTATCCCCTTGTTATTTATTATCTTGTGAAACAATAAAAATTCTTGTTAAATACTGTTGGTCAAAGGCCCTCTGACAGTGCCACCTCGGCCCACTGGGAGGACGCGGCCCCATAGGTGGACAACCAGTGATGCAGTTTATTTTGTCGTCAGTGTTAGATAGAAACGGATTCTGGAGTATTCTGGATTATACACCGATCAGGCATAACATTATGACCACCTCCTTGTTTCTACGTTCATTGTCCATTTTATCAGCTCCACTTACTATATAGGTGCACTTTGTAGTTCTACAGTTACAGACTGTAGTCCATCTGTTTCTCTGCATACTTTGTTAGCCCCCTTTTACCCTGTTCTTCAGTGGTCAGGAGTGGATCAGACACAGCAGTGCTACTGGAGTATTTAAACACTGTGTCCACTCACTGTCCACTCTATTAGACACTCCTACCATGTCAGTCCACCTTGTAGATGTGAAGTCAGAGATGATAGCTCATCTGCTGCTGCACAGTTTGTGTTGGTCATCCTCTAGTCCTTCATCAGTGGTCACAGGACGCTGCCCACAGGACACTGTTGGCTGGATATTTTTGGTTGGCGGACTATTCTCAGTCCAGCAGTGACACTGAGGTGTTTAAAAACTCCAGCAGCACTGCTGTGTCTGATCCACTCGTACCAGCGCAACACACACTAACACACCACCACCACATCAGTGTTACTGCAGTGCTGAGAATGATCCACCACCCAAATAGTACCTGCTCTGTGAGGGTCCATGGGGGTCCTGACCACTGAAGAACAGGGTAAAAGGGGGCTAACAAAGTATGCAGAGAAACAGATGGACTACAGTCTGTAACTGTAGAACCACAAAGTGCACCTATATAGTAAGTGGAGCTGATAAAATGGACAATGAGCATAGAAACAAGGAGGTGGTCATAATGTTATGCCTGATCGATGTATCAGGCCTAGTCATTAGTTTTTTCTCTCAGTTGTTTGAAATGCTTGTCTAAGTTTATTTTATGAATAAAGGTCTCTGTGCATTTAAATTCTGTTTTACGAGATTAAAACCTAGGTAGATCTTGTATGTAGGACAGTAATCTGGGGGGTCCCAGGGTGGACCACCAGTGGCAGACAGTCAGCGGTGTGCCGATTTTATGAACCCAGCAGACCAATGTATGCTTGCTGTCTGAAATTGGAATGCTTCACAAAGCTACACATGCTTTAAGCGTTTGAGGGGTTTGTCAGGTCCACAGTTTCTTCACCAAATAAGCATCTGTGTAATGTAGACATGATGCAGATACAAATTTCAGTAGCGACAGGTCAAGGAGAAAGAGAACTGGAATTGGGCACTGGAGGGTTTGCTGACCACTGGAATAACCTATTTGTGCCCCTGGTGTCTCAGCAGGTGTGTCTGCTGGAGTGTGAAGCCCAGGCGTCCCCGGCTCCCACTTGGGATCTGTGCAATCGGGCGGTAGGTTTGAACTCGGCTGCCCTGCCACCAGAAGAAGATGCCGTGTCAAAGCGTGCAGAGGACGAAACGGAAGCAGTGGAGCCGTTGGCCATGGTGAGCATGGAGGATGACGGAAGTGTGGAGTTCTCGGAAGCACTGGAACGATTCCGCCATGCAGCACAAGCCCTGGGGGCCTCCTACGAGCAACAGCCTGACTCCAGGATGGAGGAGGAAGTGGGGCAGGGACGAAACGTGGTTGCTGAGGACGAGCGCGATGGCTCCAACGACTTAGATTTATCCAAACGCTTTGGCGGCTTCCTGAAGGGCCGCCATGGCTTCCGGAAGCTGTTGGGCTCCGGCAGGTCCCTGCAGAAGCGCTACGGTGGCTTCATTGGGATCCGCAAGTCGGCCCGGAAGTGGAACAACCAGAAGCGGGTGAGCCAGTTGCTGAGGCAGTACCTGAGCCTCACTTCCCGCTCGGGCCGCTCAGGCCGCTTCAACAACCTCTCCATCGCCGGAGTCCGACAAAAGAACGAAGTCTGAGCCCCTACAAACAGGCGCTGACCCCCCCCCGCATACCTCTTTCATGTACCGCAACCCAAGACATGTTAAAATATTCCAAGATATTGTGTTGATATCCACTGAGGAACGTTTTTCTTTCCTTCTCCACCATTGACATTTCCATGAAGCAGTAAACTTTCTGAGATCTAAATGAGTTCAAGCTCATTGTGCTCATCAAGAATTGAAAAGTCAACAGGCTATTTGTTTGGAATTTTCAGCAGTTGACACTCTTAATGTTAATTTTAACCTAATGGTAAAAAATTGAAAAGTCAGCAGAGTCATTTGTTCTGAATTTTCAGCAACTGCCACTCTTAATAAGTTCAATCTATTCTTATTAAGTTTTAACCATTGCTAAAATAAAAGCACTGCACTGAAACTTCCACTGAGCATGTGCGTCAGTATCATGGGAAGGCAGCTCTGGATGTAAAAGGAGTCACTGAGCACCAAGAACGTCTGGTTCTGTGAATGACGTGAGAGAGAAAAGCACTTTATCTTTTATCTTCCTTATCAATTTATCCTTATTGCACATTATTGGTGGCACTCAGTTTAGGTTATTTTGCACACAAGGGGCGTCCACCCATTCAAGAGTCCCAATACAGCCATCCGATGGGTGGATACTTATCTTCTGTTTTGTTTTATTTATTTATTGTAAATTGCTATACATTAGCTCATGTCTCATGTGATGCACTACACGATAAATGGGTTAATGATAAACACTGGATGTTTCCCAGGGAGCCATTTTAGAAAGTGTGGAGTCCTACTCCACCGGGTCTTTTTGAGCAAACACTTATTCCATAGAGCAATGCTGCCCTCTAGAGCTCACACAAGCAATCTCTAAGTCCCCCCCACCCCCTTTTCTCTTTAAGCTTAGGCCAGATTCCATTCATTTGGACACCCGTGTTGCACATACACTTACTGGCCACTGTTCCGCCTACCTTGTAGGTCCACTATTTAGGTGTGCAGTTATAGACTGTAGCCCATTGGGTGATGCACAATTTGTCGGCCCTTCTCTACCTGTGTTGACCAGATGCTATTTGGGTGGTGGACCTTTCTCAACACAGCAGTGGCCCTGACATGGCAGTGGTATGGTGTGGCGCAGAGCTGGGCAATATGGCAGTATTTATCGTTATTGTGATAAACTGTCACACTGTGCCACAATATGTTTTTTCAAGCATATTGTTAATATCTTCAGTACTTACAGAAAACCGAACTGCATGTTGTGTTAGAGAATCATTAGTCCTATTTCACTGGATTTAGTGCAGTGCAGTATGTCAAATGTTGAATAAAAATCATTATAATGTTTTAGTGTTTTTTTTATATATTGTGGCAGCACTCATTCTTTTTTGTCCATTTCAACTCATCAGATGTCAGAAAAAGTAAATATAGTGGCAAATATCTTCAAGTATTGTGATAGTGTATTTTTGCCATATCGCCCACCCCTAGTGCGGCGTGAGTCCAAGGCCCAATCCCATTTCACCCCTCGCCCCTACCACTTAGCCCTTAGCCCTCTGTTTTGCGCATTTAAGTCTAGGGGTAGGGTGTCCCAATTCTTGTTGAGATAGAGGGGTGGAGTGAAGTGTTAGGGCTACTTGGCCCTCCAAACTGAGGTTTTCAGAGACTCCAAACAGAGCGATATGAGAAAAAAGAAAAACCGGCCAGACGGCTGCATGAGCGACCTAAGAAACACACAAATATGAGAATTTACCCTGTTAAAAAATTACGATAACCACTGTATTATCTTAGTTTAGTGTCGTTTCAGTGTATTATGGTCGTTTTCTTCATAACAAGCATAAAAATCGCTAATATCATGCTAATGTCTCGGTACCTAGCTAGGTTAGCTAACTTTCCCGTTCCACCTTAAATAGTCCAGCAGTTCTGACGCCTGAAGTGCCAGAATGTAACTGCTGCACCATTTAAGGTGGAACAGGAAAATTGGAACAAGAAACTGGTGAATATCTGACTTCAGCTTCATATCACCAAAGAATTAGCGGTGGGTGATAATAAATAATTGCCCCCCTCTTTGAAAGCATATGATGCTCTAAATGTAACTAAAGCCCAGCAGTGAGGAGCTGAACTTTACCCTCCTCTGCTATCACTGAAGTCAGGCCGGGTCGCCTACAGAGCAGCGCTAGTAGCTGTTAATGAAGTAATGTTTTTTTTTGTTTTGTTTTTTTTTTTTAATTTGAGGGTTGTCTCATTTCGTAGGGCAAGATTTCAACCACTACCCCTTGTAACTCAGTTCCAAGGGGTAGGGGTAAAAAGAAGAAATGGGATTGGGCCCAAGTGTATCAGGAACAGTGATGCTGCAGGGATTTCTGCTAGGCTGAGAGTAGCCCACCACCCAAAAATATCCAGCCATTAGCAGCTCTGTGGTCAGAAACTGAGCACTGGTGGAGGGCCAGAAGACACCAACACAGATTGTGCATCAACAAAGTACACTCTTTATACAAGACAGGCATTTCCAATAAAGTGGCCAGAGAGTGGAAATTGGTTTTGTGTTTTTGTTTATCACCATAAACAGAAAAGAACCTAATCTTAGATCAGCACTCAGCACATACTGCGAGATATTTTGTGAAAAACATTCTGGCCAAACCTAATTTGAAAGTGAGGCTCACAGCAACATCTCACGGATGAATTCTGCACGCCTTCTACATACTTACCTTTTCCTTGTACACATATGCAAATGGGTTTTCTTCAAGTGTTTCAGTTTCCTTCTTGTATTTGTTTGAGAAAGTCACAAAGTCACAGTTTCTACATTTTTTGGACCTTTGGATGTGGTCTATCAAGAGGCAAACAAGGAATGGGCATAAAGCTGTGAAGTGTCCATTACAGTATTCTTCATTTATATGTTGTTTTGGCTTTGTGAATGATGTATATTTAAAAACACGTTACAGTTTGGCTTTGTGAATGATATACAGTTCAAACATATATTGCAGTTCTTTTTTCCAAAGTACACTTTTCTTTTAGACCGTCCAACTTGTACATAAAATGCACACAAATACCAATAAAATAGTTTACTATTTCTCTTGTGATTTGTCATGCAACGATCAGATTCTCATATTTGCATATTTTTTTGTGTGTTTGTTGTCGTGTTTAACCGCCTCTTTTGTCAGCAGTTTGCTGTTATAACTTCCATGTTAATTGAATGTTCCCAAAAGTTTGATCTGTTACACAAAAAATATCATAATACTGTTTAGGAGGATGACAAGGGACTTACAAATAGGAATGAGCCCAACTTGGCTTCAGGGCAGCATCTAATCAAACTCCCTTTGAATCAACACTGCAATAGCACTTTGGTATTCGATCACAGATTATAGCTGCACTTAATCGCTCTCTTACAACTTTCTTACTGTCTGATCCACCACTCAACCTCACTATAGCTTTATATCTGGCAGTTTCACTTGATTAGGAAGCGCTGACACGTGGGCATTATGTCAAAAAAAAGAAATGTGTATAAAAGCAAAAAAAACCCATAAATCTGACCAGATACGTAGAAAATAAAGATAATACATGACATCACGCTAGTACATCTTCCAGGCCAAGAAAACAGCAATAGAAAAGAAACAATAAAAACGTTCATGTTCACAATATACCAAAACCGACAATCACTTAAATAATCTCGGGGAAGATGTGCAGGATCGAGGAAGAAAAATACAATTTTTCAATTACAGGGCGAAGCTTTTTGTTTCATAAAAGGGAAAAGAAACTGGGACCCTAGCGCACCACACGCACAGTCTCAACAGCTAGCACCAGCAGTCACTTTGCAGGAAAAGATACCAAAAAAGCAATTTCAATTCTCGTAAGAAAACAAAAAAAAAAACAAACAGGTACAAAAGTGAAGAGGGGTTCTTGCCGTCCTCTACAGTGCCAAAAGTGGTCGGAGGAAAGAAAAGGAAAAATGGCGATTCTTTCTCGCCTCCTGAAGTCTTTTTTTTTTGTTCTTTTTTTTGTTTTTAGTCAGGGAAGCGTTGGCAGGCTTTCTTCCAGCGACAAGCAGTGCACCACTGATCCCTGCGCTCCACACCGTAAACCTTGCGGCACTTTTTGGCCTCTCCTCGGCCCTTCCTGAAAACGCAAAAGAACAGGGGGTGAAGGACAGCAACATTTTTTAGCCATTCCAAATTCCACCTGCTATATCATGTCTACATTTCCCCCCTTCATTTCTCAGATGACTGTGGCAAGGAGCAACATTGGTTTCTTACTGAGAAATTTTCTTATTAGTATGACAAAAGGCTGTATAATAATTGTACAATAATGTTTCTGATTCATTTGGCAACACAGCATTGATCATATGTCTCTGTTACTACTGTACACACATAAAAAACATAAAAGTCCCGTTCAACATAATGAGAAATTGTAGCCCACAAAACAAAGTTTTTTTCCCCAAATACTTCAATTCACCTGTTCATTTCAAATGATATTTATTTTGTATGTATGTAAAAGATCCCATTGTTATAATGGAGTTTTCTATTCTTCAATCAAGCCCACATTAGCATGGTTACATCATTGTCATTTCTGGCTGCCTACATTTGATTAGGTACAACAACATAATCGAGCTCAATAGTGTAGCATTTTAACTGGAAACTGAAGCAGCTTTAAACTGTGTTTCTATTATCAAGCAGTTCCAAGGATTATAGCGAAAGAAGGCACACGAACCGGAATGAGCAGTGGCCTCTGGAGGGTGATGCACTCATGGTCTGTGACCTGGTGGGGGCGCTGTTCCGCTGTAGCCACTGCTCTCCCACGCTGACGGAACGGCTGCGGGTGGTGGTGATCTGTGAGACAGGAGAAGGTGGAGCATAGTGACAAACCCTGCAGTAATTCAGCACTACAACTGCTGCCACACGCTTGACCCACTAGACCACCTGCTATGCACGTTACAACTAGGATACCTACATGCACTACTGACACCTCAGGCTGCCACAGTTATATAATGATATCTGTGGAGTCCAAGGCTTTAGAGACTTTAAATTAAGCATCTCCACACTCCGCTCAGCTAGCACTGCCTCTTCTGGGACCTTCAGGGTCATTTTAAAAATTGAGGAACAAACAATTGTATTCCTGGCCTTATAGAAAGGTATACAAGGTATACAAGAAATGAGTCTACCTGAGGTCTCGCCTGAAGGCCACCAGGAGGAGGTCGATCACAGGACGCAGGGGACCCAGGCAACACGGTCACCTCGATGGGAGTGCAGGCCTACAGAAACAAAAAGAGAATCAGGCTACTCTACAACAGAACCGCTCCCTTTCTTGGAATGTATGAATTAGAGCCTGCAAAATGTACAGGCCTAAAGCAATAGTCACTACTAAATGTAGTTGAACGGCCAAGACGTCTGGCATCTGAAATTAACTTCTTTAATTTAATTTTGCACTGGAGCTAATAGAGCTGTCTACTGGAAGCTCATATAAAACAATTAGCATTGTGCTAAATGAATGACTTATACCGATCAGGCATATTATTATGACCATCTAATTGTTTCTATGCTCATTGTCCATTTTATCAGCTCCACTTACTATATAGGTGCACTTTGTAGTTCTACAGTTACAGACTGTAGTCCATCTGTTTCTCTGCATACTTTGTTAGCCCCCTTTTACCCTGTTCTTCAGTGGTCAGGACCCTCATGGACCCTCACAGAGCAGGTACTATTTGGATCATGGATCATTCTCAGCACTGCAGTAACACTGACGTGGTGGTGGTGTGTTAGTGTGTGTTGCGCTGGTCTGAGTGGATCAGACACAGCAGTGCTGCTGGACTTTTTAAACAGTGTTCACTCACTGTCCACTCTATTAGACACTCCTACCTTGTCAGTCCACCTTGTAGATGTAAAGTCAGAGACGATAGCTCATCTGCTGCTGCACAGTTTGTGTTGGTCATCCTCTAGTCCTTCATCAGTGGTCACAGGACGCTGCCCACAGGACACTATTGGCTGGATATTTTTGGTTGGTGGACTATTCTCAGTCCAGCAGTGACACTGAGGTGTTTAAGAACTCCAGCAACACGCACTAACACACCACCACCACGTCAGTGTTACTGCAGTGCTGAGAATGATCCATGATCCAAATAGTACCTGCTCTGTGAGGGTCCATGAGGGTCCTGACCACTGAAGAACAGGGTAAAAGGGGGCTAACAAAGTATGCAGAGAAACAGATGGACTACAGTCAAATTCACATAATACTTCAACAAAAATGCTAATTAAAGCTATTAGGGAGATAGCAGGCAAGTTAAATTATCTAATGCTAGATAATTGCTAATCTCCACCCACAAATGTTCATTCATTTTTAGCCAAATTAGCCTTCCTGGCTAAAGTTTGCCTGTAATGAACTGACCAAAGGAGTAAGACAGACTGTTACCTGGTAGAGATGTTCTGTATGGATCTGCCACACGCTGCTGGGGGCGGACTGACTGAGAGCGCTGGACGGGGGCGGGGCCTCTTGGGGTCCATGAGTGGACTGGCTGTGGGTGGAGCTGCAGGACGACCAGGGCCCACTGAAGAATGAAGGATCAGGAGAGGGCGGTGTCGGCTCTTCCTCCTCTGAGGAAACTTCAGTGTAGTAGAAGTCTTCCTCTCTATGGGACTGCTCTGATCCGCTGCTGAGAGAGAGATGGAGATAAAATGAAAGAATTACTACACTATATACAGTCATGTGAAGAAGTAAGCAACCCCCATGAAATGTTCCCTCCTTTTTGGACATATGTGGGCATATCAGTATTTGATCATCACTCTCTGGTACGAAGGAGAATTCAAAGCCGATTATGAGTGCAAGCTGGCCAGGGCCTGAGGCAGCAAAGCCGCCCCAAACCATAACATTTCGAGCACCATGCATTACAGTTGGTATAAGGTTCTTCTGATCAAATGCTGTCTTTGGTTTTCGCCAAACATGGCTTCAAGTACTGTGCCGGAACAGTCTTTGGCTTGCTTGTCTATACCACGTTGTTTCAGAAGTCCTGATCCTTGCCTAGATATTAGCAAACTTTAGTATTGCTCAGATGTTCTTTTTAGACAGCAAATGCTTCCTTCCTGGTGCATCTCCCATGTAGGTCAAATTTGTGCAGTCTCGTTCCAGTAGTAGATGCACGCACTTTGACACCCACATGCAAGAGCTACTCGCAGATCCTGTGATAAAACTTTCTTTTAGCATTTTACCGTCTGCTCTTGGGTTAAATTTGCTGGGGCGGCCTGGCCTGGACAGTGGTTTTAAATCTTCTCTGCTTGTAGATGATCATCTAGGCAGTGGGATGATTGATTTCCAATATTTTGGAAACACTTCTCAAACCCCCTCCGAGACTCATAGACGTCTACAATATTCTGAAGGCCTCAGAGAGCTCATCTGATTTAGGCACGATGATTAAACTCCAATAACAATGAGCAAACCAGACCAGTTATCTCGAGGCTTAAATAAGAAACGTTCCTCCAAGATCTTCTCTAACAGTGTTCTAATCATTAGCACTTCCAATTAGATTCCAATTTGACACGTTTTGAAGAAGTGATATATGTAGGGGTGTACTTACTTTTTCCACATTAGAAAATTGCATTTTTATTTATTTCAATAATATAAAATATGATAAAAATGTTAATTCTAGGTGTCAATTGTTACATTATATCACATTTCCTATCTATTAAGATTGTTTAAATGAAGACCGGATATCTGTAAGTGCAAATACGCTGACAAAGTCTAAACTTTTCACCTCTTCACATGACTGTAGCTTGACCACAACACTGTCAGTACTACATTACAGGCCAAAAGTTTGGACACTTCGTTAACTAAAATAAACTTAAAAATGTAATTGAGAAAACACACGTTAATAGAGACAACTGACATTAATATGTTAATTACCATCAAAAAAATTCTTTGGCAATAATGTACAAATAACTGCTTCTTTGTTTTGTTCTTGCTGATTACACTGCAGAGTTTAATTGCTGTAATCATAAACACTATTTCACAAGTGGAAAGCTTAATTAACTGAATCAATTGTGATCAATGTCCATTTAAGTAATTGTTATGAACAAAGACCATAAAATACTTTTAAATAGTTTTGAAAATGAAAGCACTGCTTGCTTCTACACTTTTTTACCCTATTTTCCTCTCATTGTTTCGAGACACATGAAGCGCCTCCACATCTTTTCATGCAACGTCACTGGACAGCTCAACACACTTAGAGGAGAACGTCAACCACCAATTCTGTTAAGTCAGCTATGTATTTACTGCCTTCAGAAGTCTTCGGGAGGTAGATCTCCAGGAGGAGGGTTGGTGACCACTGATGTAGACGGTTACACTGTTGTTCATTATGATTATATGTTAAGAAGATCTACTAAGCCTCTAAAGCCCTACAGCTCCTAGACTCGATTTCACTTGTTCTTAACTGAAGGACTCACCCCAAATGGAGAATTCGAATGTGACGTTTCATCCCGACCCGTGATGTCAGCACTTTGCCGCAGCCAGGCCATAAACACCTGTATGCTCCTCTGCTCAAACTCTGTGTAAGAGACACACCAAGAGAGGTGAGGCGGGGGAGTCACAGAGTTAGAGTCAAATGCCAAGCATTTTTGCATTGACCCCCCACCCCAGGTTTCTGACAGACCCGTCATCACGCTCACCTTACACCTCCTATTCTCCGTCTCGTCGCTCAAGCCAGGCTCCAGCTCCATTTGCAGCCCCTCATCCACCGAATGGCCCCCGCTGCCGTCCGTCTCTGTGACGGATGGTGAGGGGGCGGGGCTCACGCTACCATGGTCCCAGCTCCAGTAGCCGCTGCTGCCGCTGTCCGAGAGCTCCCCTCCACCGCATTCCATGTCCCCTGGGGCAGCTGGACAATACACACGGGAAACTGTAAGACTGGATGGAGGGTACTTTGGCCAACAGCCCAGTTTAAGTCACTCACTAAGGGGAAGGGAGTTTTTTTTACACTGGGGCTATGAGACCAATGTAGGTAATACGTACAAACTAGTAGTGTGAAAGCTGAATAAATGATTACACATTTGTGTCAAGCCACATCAAGTAAGAAAAAGACTTGATTCAGCAGATTCTGAACTGAATGACACTCTGTTATGCCTAAAATTAGACAAAATTTAGTTTGCATGATGATAATTGGTGAATCATAGGCATTTTTAACCACATTAGCCATGTGGCTCCAATGCAAAACCATGGTGCACCCATTGCTAACAAAGTTGTATTTCTGTAGAAACCAAGAGACAACAGAATCCAACGCTCCACACCGCTGTACAGGAGTCTAAGGTCCCCGTGCTTCATGCCAAGCGTCAGCTAGAGAGGTATAAAGTCCCTGAGAACACTGAGCTGTAGTGCAGTGGAACTGTGTTCTCTGGAGTGATGGAGCTCGACAGAATACCTTTGAGATGAGTGCTGTTTGTGATCCTGATCAAATCATCAAACATCAGTACCTGATCTCGCTAATTTTCTTGCGGCTAAGCTTTGTTCGCCAATGTGTCTCTTTATATTGCATCAACATAGTCAATTACTGATCAACCTAGTCGATCTACACATAAGACTGTAACAAAACAGGTGGTGGAAATTTGGAGATTTGCAGATAAATAATGACCCAGATGAGATCTTTCAGAACAAATCAGACATGATGTTGCTCTGGCTCACGTTGTGCTACGTTCCGGCATACAACACATAAAACGGTCCTTTACATTTCACAGAATTAGGAATGATCAGCTGACAGTCAAACGAATCAGGCAAGCACAGACGCTTCGTCTTTGAGATCGTTCTGTACAGCCACGGTAGCGTGTAAAAATGTTTCGAATGTCTGCTTGGCCAGTTCAGGTTTCCAAAGGCAACAGCTTACCTGGCAGGGGATCTCTCTGCGGGGGGCTTTGGACCGCTGGACTGCAAGACAGACTGGTAAGAACCATTGCAGCCATGATCTCATCCATCTCCACTGACTCAGGACTCCTATACCTGAGAAAAATAAATAAAGATAAAAGAAATGTTTATTAAATCCTACATTTATGTCTGATAGGTATGTATTATTCCCCAGAATGAAGGTCCACTTTAATATGTAAGATGAAGCTGTATATTATGGTTTACATTTAAAAGGATAAAAATCATACATTTGAAACATTAAAGCTGGAAAGAGATCTTGTGAAATCACAGCTCACCTGTAGGGCAGGTCTACGTTGGAAGACTGTGGGAACGTGAAGGGGTTTGACTGCGGCACGGCCGCCGTACCGGGCCACACTCTCCCGGGACCTGACGACGACTGGACGGGGTTCTGGCAGTGTTTCCGCGCATCCACATCTTCCTGACCACAACACTGCATGTAGATCTGCGAGAGGTTGAACAAGACAGTTATTGTAAAAGCCTGCTACGTAGCTTCAAATTAGGACAGCGGCTATGGGCAGTCTGCCACCCCACCCTTTCTCGGTCCCATTCCTCTGTCCAGAATAGGGGTAGCTTACACCACCAAGCCTCAAACTCAATTATAATATTTAAGCATACCAAGCCTCCTTCTTTTCCTTCTGTTGCAGGCTGCGTGGCCCCCGGTCCTGCCCGTGACTTCATAGCTGCCATGTTGTGCCCTACCCTTAGTCTCTCGGCGGGGCTGGACCACGCTGTCGGCTCAGGCTCTCCAAAAACCTGAAATCCAGACAGGATTTAGGTGCGTTACATTTCCTGAACAGGCCCACATCAGCCCCAAAATGACTGGTAATTCAATGAGCTCATCACAGGCACTGCAGCATGACAAAACAAAAGCTCTACAGAACCACTACTGGGGAAAAAAGTCGGTTATGAACAAATTAACAAAACTATAACATTATTTAGGTGGGGTTTGTAGTACATGAACTAAGAAAGGATTTATCCAAACCTGTAGATGAAAAGGAGAGTTTCACCTGTATCTAATCCAGACTAATTCGGTCTCTGCATTACAAAAAAACAACAACTACCCACTCGCATACTGCACCATGCCTAGACTATTTTTTTAGGGCAACACACCCCCTCACTGACAGCCTCTAACGTACTGTATCTCGGGCTCAAGGGGGTGAAATCACGGACACAACGAAAAAGCGGAACGGATCGGAACGGACCCCAATTCCAACGCCTAGTTTGACGAGGAATTTCCACAAAACAAAATTAAAAATACCTTTATTTTTTATTTCTAAGCCAATATTTGTTGCGTTTAGACGTTTTGGGTTTCCTGAAACGCGACACTCTTTGGTTTCTAAGCGTCTTTGTGGTCGAATTACGTGAGCGGATTCTCGGGATCCGGATCCACGGTTTCCCACCGGCTCTCCTTATGGGCGTTTCCAGCGAGCGGTAAACAACCGACCCACAGTGGGTGAGTCCTGCGCGCTGATTGGCTGACGCGGCCTCCCCCGCGCACACGCCCCCATTCACCAACGTGTACGAACACGAGTTTTAACTCGAGCCGTGTTGATGTAGCCCTAATGCAGCCGACGATAAATACGCGCCGAAAAAGAAGCAATTAAACAACAACGTGCACGTGCAGAAATCCCAGAATAAAACTGATAAATTAATTTTAAAAAATGCAAAAAAAAATAATTTTTCAAATATAAGCATTTCTCAGCCGAAAGGCTCTCAATGAAAACCCCGCCAGACAGAATGACTGGGTTCAAATCTGACCCGTCTCCGCGCACAAAACACACAACGGCGTGAACACAACAGCTCCGCCGCCACGCCAGACGGGAAGCCACGAAAAGGCGCTGCAGCACCTCAATAAATCCCGAAACGCCCCCCGAGCGAACAGAAGGGTAGAATAGCGGCTGTATTACCTGCAGAGGCCGAGCTGGAGAGAAGCCGCTGTGGGCGCGCGGAGGCTGGATGGGGGGCTGGGACTAGTACGTGTGCGCGTGAGCTGCGGCTATGAACGACAGCGGAGGGGGAGAGGCGGCTAGCCGCGCCGCTAACCTCTGTCTGTCTGTCTGTCTGTCTGAGGGGGCTCGTCTGTTCGGGGAGGGGCGAAGCGCGGCGTCCCTCACGGTTTAACGTCACGCCACTCAGCTCGTTTCAGCCGCGCGAGGACTTCAATAAAACTTGTTTGTTTGCTGTGACGCTGACGTCTTCGGCGAGTTCGAGGCTATATTTAGAGCCGCTTGTTGACGACTCGGCTCACTGCACGCGCGGTGTCCGAGCCTATTACAACGAATTGGCCTCCAGAAAGATCGTTTTAGGCGTTAAAGGGTTTATTTCTTCTGTGTCCAGCCGGTCTGCGGGCATTTCTCAGTCCACAAAGCAAACCGGCTTCCCCCTCAGCTGCTTCGCCCCCTCTCTCTCTCCCTCTCTCTCTCTTTCTCTCGCTCTCTCGCTTTCACCTTTCACCTACTTCAGTTTCCCTCGCGGTGCCGGTTGCAGGGGGCGGGCTCTGGTTTTTCATTCGCGAGCAGACACGGAGAGGAGATGTCCGTCATGTCATGTCAGGGGATTAAAACCCGTCCCTCTGTCGGCTGGCTCGGACTTCATCCTCCGAAAGGGGATTTAAGGTCAGGACACAGTCGGTTTTTTAGAGTCCCTGAATCCAGTCTGAGTCTCGATCATCAATGATGGGCACGTGACCTCAAGCCTGTAATAGCCGGTGAGCTGTTTTCATCGCCCATAACGTGAATCTGGGCCACTGTTATCTGCGTAGCAGTAATGGCTGGTCATAATATTGGACAGAAGGGGCTGAAACACCCATCAAAGCCTCACACGTTATAGCATCACATTTTAAAGCAGTGAAACAATAATGTTGATGGCCTGGGTAGCCTACTGTGGTGTCAGAACTCCAGTTCCCATGATGCTTTGCTCATGCAGGGTGGTATTTAGTTTTTAAAATAGTAAGTAAAAGTATTCAGTTGCATTTTCAAGTATGTGATGTAAATGCTTACAGGTTATGTGAATGCGTGGGGCAGTGTTGGGCTGGAGGTTAGGGAACCAGCCTTGTGACCGTAAGGTTTGATCCCCTGAGCTCACAGTACGTGACTGAAGTGTCTTTGAGCAAGACACCTAACCCCCAACTGCTCCCCAGGTGCTGTGGTTAGGGCTGCACACCAGAGAAATTGCAGAGAGGAGAATTTCCGCTCTGCAATGTCTTCTGGTTTTCTCAAACGCTAGAGGGCGCTCTTGAGCGAGTCCAAAATTAATGGGTTAATATGGAGCATTTGAGCAAAATCATAGTTTATAACTGCTTAAACATTTCTAATGTAAAAGAACGCAATAATTTCCTGAACACAGAACAGCATAAAACATTTTAACACCGCTGTTATATTTTTAAGAGCTTTTAAACTCGAGTAGTTTAAAATGGTGCCTCATGTATGTCCATGATGTCAGTGAGCACGAACAGCCAATGAGTTGCTCCGCTCACCAATCAATCATCACGCTCTAGCAGTAATGCCCGCCTCCTGCTGCCCAAAACCCGTTTTGCTGTAGAAAAAAAGGAAATATATAGGTAATTTTAGTGAAATTAAAAATTAAATTTTAGTGAGATTAAAAATCTAAAATTAAAGAAATGTTCTGGCCGAGTGATTAGAAACTATTTTAACTTCTCGTTTTTAGCCATTGAGCGCCATTTACTCCCATTCATTGAGGACTCACTCGTGGGTGCCCTCTGCTGTTTAGCAGTCCTGTTTTGATATAATGGGGGGAATAGGAAGTGGCCAGGCTCCTCATAAACTGGCTCTGTGCACACCGCTTCGGGCAAGTGTGCTCACTGCCCCCTAGTGTGTGTGCATTCACTAGTGTGTATGTGGTGTTTCGCTGCATGGATGGGTTAAAATGTGGAGGTGAAATTTACCATTGTGGGACTAATAAGGGTCACATAATAATAATAATAATAATAATAATTCTGTAGCAGCCATGGCCATGCTAGAGATTTAAAGGATGTGTTTTCTTCTCTGGAAATAAGTGCAATTTTTCTCTCTTGCAGTCTGGGTCCCGAGTCCCTCATCCCATGCAGGTTAGCCAAAGAAATAGCCTATCCACAGCGGTCGATAGGGCAATTAGGCTTTGAACTTATGTTCTTCATGACATCATCACTGGATGCTGCTGACAACCTGAACATGGCTCGGCGAACACCCCTACAATGCCAATGCAACTGCCTAAGGTAAGGCACTATGATGATTTGGAGAGCTGGTTGGCTCACCTTTGGCAATTTAAGACAGTTGCGGCAGCGGTGGCATGGGTGGACCAAGCGAAGGTGGTGCAGTTAGCCTCGGCCCAGCCCTGCAGGTACCGTTAGATCTCCCTCCGATGTTAACCTCACAGCCAGCCTGGTGGGGTGGCAAGTGTGGCCCATTCAGTGCACATGAGAGAAAAACAGAGAGAGAGAGCACCAGCGCAAAGTTGTGTCCGCTTATTGCCGACAGAGAGAATATGGTGGGGCTTGCCTGAGGGGAGTTCGCAGCAGCAGCCCATGATATCTTGGTTCTGGATACATTCCTACTGGTGGTAAAGTCAGTAAGGCTCCAGCGACAGTGCAGCTGGCTAAGCCAACTTACCTGGGGAGACTTTACAGTGGGCTGAAGATGGAGGTGATTTTGGGAGAGTTTGCAGGCTGCTGCATGGTTTATGGAGCAGTGGGGTGGACAGCAGTGACAACGAGAGGGAAGAGGAAGAAGCCCTCTGGGCAATTTCCAGGGCAACACACCATGTCTGCAAGCAGCTGAGGCACCTGAAGCCTCAGTGCCCACAGAGGCAGCAGTCAGCAGGCACCCAGATTCTATGTAGTGGAGGTGGGTGATGCTTGCATTCTGTGGTTTGATGTGCCTGCAGTCCTGAATGCCACAGTGCAACCAGCAGGCCCCAGGCTGTTGGTGGACGGTGTTCCAGTTGATACGATTCACTGGGCAGGACAGAGTCTTGCCAACACTGAAAGGCTTTCGACGTTCACAGGCCAAGCAGAAGGGTACAGGACGTAGAGTTGAAACGCAGACGGTAAGAGTCACCTCCGACATCACCTTGCTGGAGGGCTGGAACATGAAGGAGCTGTGGACAGAACCGAGGGTGGACCCTGTAATTGCACCAGTGGTAGAGTGGCTGGAGTATCAGGGGCAGCCAAACCAAGCTACGCTGGCCCCACACACTGATATTAAGTGACTGGAGGAGATGTGGGACATGCTGGAGTTGTGAAAAGTGACATGTAGAGATGGTGGAGCTCCCCCATTGGAACCTAGAGAGCTGTGGCAACCGGTGGTCCATGCTTCCCGTCATCAGCAGAGTCTTCACTTCATATATTGGGCAGTAGGGACAGGCTGCTTCGGCTTCACCAGGATGGATAAGGCTGGCATATAGAGTGGCTCTGCAAGAGATGTGACATCTGCACAGAAAAAAATCTGTTCCAACTTATCTTAGAAAATCTTAGAAAAATGAAATATTGTGATGCATATTGTGCACCATGAAAATATCGAAGTATCATGATATATTTTTTGTTGTATCTCCCACCCTTATGTTAGGGTACAGCTGATATAGCACCACCGTCAGCTTGGCACTAACATAACACTGAAAATCCCATACAGTCGCCAGTAGAAATTAGCATTTCAGTGGTGGAAGTCAGATCAATACAGGCTTCTTTTAAAGCAAATGAAAATGTTTCTGCACCAAACCTTGCAGTTTAATGATTATCCTCACAATTTGACTATCTGATTGTCAAAGTAAACGAAAATTTAAAAAGTTCATACTCATGTGTGAATAATAAATGTACAGACACAAAAAGGAACCAGTTTTTTGAAGTTTAGCCTTTTCTAATGTGATCTAATAGAACTGGTTTTATGACATTCATTAATTTTTATTGGGTGATCAAGTGCAGACACAGTATCAAATATTATATATCATATCATGCTGTATCAAGTCAAATACAGTCCCGTTTATGCTATTCAAAATGTTTTTCTGGAATAGGAGGTGCAGCCTCCTCAGTTACATCATCCTCATCCAGTGCCATGGTGGTTGGTAAAGTAGGGAATTCCACGAGTTTCATTGTTTTTTTTTTCCAGTTCACTGCTGCATAGACAGCTGTGCTTTCTGAACCAGTCAAACACTGGCCATCCTGCTCAGCTGGGAGAGGCAAGAAAAGCTTTCCTGGCTTCTCTGCCTGTCCGTTGTCCAACACTGTAAGGGATGTGGATGAATGACCAGCAGCAGGTTCACCCGGTTCTGCCATTGTTTGGTAAGGGCTCTCATTCCCGAATTGGTTTTCAGCAGCTTCATTGCTGGAAGAGAGCGGTGAAGGCTCACTGACATTTACCATGCCTATACTTTCATAGGGATGTTCCTCACTGACCTCCGGCCCTGGGACAGAGTATGTGTGGTCAGTGAACATGTCACTGGTATATGACTGATCTTCTCTGTCTCGTGTATCATGGTCTTTAATGACTGTCTCAGGCTGCTGTAGCGACGGAGGCTGCATCGCTGGTTCCACCTGGACTCTGGGTTGGTGGAAGGTTGATGGAAGCAGTGGGGGGTCAGGAATTCTTGGAAATATGGAGGCTTTGGATCCAACGGACACGCCTGGAGTATCTGTAAGCCAGGGCATCATGCCTTGGCTGAAATATCCATGTGATTCAGCTGTTAAGCGAGAGATTAGACTCTGTTCAGAATGTGCAGCACAAAAACACATGACAAGGAAACTGAATCTAAAATGTAATTTCTATACGTTTGTGTATAGTAAGTAGGAATGCACCAATATAGAATTCAAAGGTTAGTAACTAATAACTAACAATTTATTGTGGTCAACACACACACGCCTTCTAAGTCGCTTATACTTCTGGGTCGCAGGGGGGAGCTGGAGCACCAGTCCATCGCAGGGCAGACAGGCAGACATATACATTCACACTTAGGGGCAATTTAGCATGTCTTTGGACTGTGGGAGGAAACCAGAGCACCCGGAGGAAACCCACACAGACACGGGAAGAACATGCAAACTCCACACAGAAAGGACCCTGGTTGCCCGGCCGGGGAATCGAACCCAGGCCCTTCTTACTGTGAGGCAGCAGGGCTACCCACTGCTTATTATTATTATTATTATTATTATTATTATTATTATTGTTGTTGTTGTTGTTGTTGTTGCATTTTAAATCAAGTTTACACTATAATCCATTTATAAAGTGCATTGAATCTAAGGGTCTACTATCTGACCAGAGTTATTTTTTATGAAGTAGATTTGTTTTTGTTTGCAGCAGTATGCCTACTGTACACTATGTGTACAGTATGTGGACAACAAAGTCGGTCTTACTAACTGTTTACCAGCAACGAAATAAAATGAAAGCTTGCTAAAGGGAAATATTTTAAATTCTAAATGAGTCAGGGATGTCTTCATTGTGGAAAAAATATGACCAGGATATCACATCAGATAAAAAGCACACTGGTGATGTGCAGTGTAGAGCTTGTGATTGTATTTTGAACTTTGATAGCAGGAGGACTGGCACATTGTTTCTTTAGCAAAACACTGACTGTAGATAGAGCAGTGCTGCAACAGCTACTAGCCAGAAACAATGTCAGTATCAGGGAACAGGGAAGAGCAGTCAGTGCTGGCTATGGCTTCTAAATCAAGAAAAAGCCAGTTTGATTGGAGGTGACCTGTCCAGGATGTTTCCTGCCTTCCGCCAAATGACCGCTGGGATAGGCTCCAGCTCCCCCCGTGACTCAGAAGGATAAGCGGCTTAGAAAATGTGTGTGTGTGTGTGATTGGAGGTGCTGATCTATAGCAAATCATTGTTATCTTTGAGTCCTGAGACATTTTTGTCTGCAAAAACATATCCACACATCTATAATTACCTAAATACTGCACCAGCCTGCACATTGCATAAGCTAAAAGCATCAAATTAGACATAAAAAGTTTAATTCTAAGGAAAACACTACAGAATTCATCCTTAACCTCGCTGCCTATCTGGGACAGACTGAAAGTTTTCCTGTTTATTCTCGCTATACAGTTCTTGCTGGCTCAGCACTTCAGCCTCTTTCCCCTTCACAACGTCAAAGAGCCGGCATATAATCAAAGCTCACTCTAGTTTGTTTTTTGTTCCTGTTGTTACCAGAACCATGAACTACACAGCACACTGTGTCTATATTATATCTTTCAAGATGTTTTATTAACTAATGGTAAACAAAAGTTGGCTCTACGAGTGCTGCTGTCATTGCCATGCGACTGGTGGTATGTCAACAATATGGCGGCAGCGATAAGTGTAATGTCGATCGAATGTGTTACGTACTGTTTTTCAGTTCATTTCATTTTCTGTCAATCAACTTAGTAACTTAGTAACACTTAGTAACAAAGCAAAACACTGTAAAACTGTGCCTGAGATAATCCATCTCTTTTAGTGCATGCAAGCAGGTTCATGTCGAGTTGACTTTATCCCTTTTACTGAGGAAATTCTCAGCACCTGCACAAACATATGCACAAGCTAAAAACAAGAAACTAAATTGTCGTTGTAAATCCAGTTTCAGACCAATAATAATAGCTACATTTCCCCATTGATCATCAAGTAATGTATTGACTGCCAATGTATTGTCCACCCCTAGAAGTAAAGACAATAAATAAAGACTTCTCTTACCTCTGTTGTGAGTATAAACTGTGGGTGGCTGACTCTGCACCATGGTGGCACTCCTGGTGTGAGGCCTAGCAGGAACCTGGGGGACACTCCTTTTTGGCATAGAGTTTAAAGCTACAAAAAACAGTCAAAATATTCAAATGTTTTGGGGTGTTTTCTCATCAAAATATGCTATTTTTTTTATCAAAATGCAAATTCATGGCCATGACTAGCCTGCTGGGCATGACAATATGATTACAATATTAAAGCAATTTAAACAAATAATGACTGAAGGCTATGGTCACATAGGTGTTATTACAATCTTAATACAAAGATTTTACCATAGATGGACTGATGACTGGAAATATTTCTAATGATTTTTTAATGATGATATCCACTTTTACGTTGAAGAACATTTTTGTTGTTGTTTTTTCATTAAAAAATCCTACCACTTGTAATGTACAGTACATCACATGTGAGAAACAGACAGAAAGCAGATGGACCGACCATGCTGATTGCCCGAGGTTCTGTTTGTGCTCCACTGATCTTCTGGTCTCTCCTGCAGAAGGATGAAACAGACCTCCACATATTATCACTTCAAGACAGCAGTATAGGATGCTGACTGTATGTTAGTACTGGATCATTCTCAGCGCTGCAGTAACACTGACGTGGTGGTGGTGTGTTAGTGTGTGCTGTGCTGGTACGAGTGGATCAGACACAGCAGTGCTGCTGGAGTTTTTAAACAGAGTGTCCACTCACTGTCCACTCTATTAGACACTCCTACCTTGTCAGTCCACCTTGTAGATGTAAAGTCAGAGACGATAGCTCATCTGCTGCTGCACAGTTTGTGTTGGTCAACCTCTAGTTCTTCATCAGTGGTCACAGGACGCTGCCCACAGGACACTGTTGGCTGGAAATTTTTGGTTGGTGGACTATTCTCAGTCCAGCAGTGACACTGAGGTGTTTAAAAACTCCAGCCGCACTGCTGTGTCTGATCCACTCAGACCAGCGCAACACACACTAACACACCACCACCATGTCAGTGTCACTGCAGTGCTGAGAATGATCCACCACCCAAATAGTACCTGCTCTGTGAGGGTCCATGGGGGTCCTGACCACTGAAGAACAGGGTAAAAGGGGGCTAACAAAGTATCAGAGAAACAGATGGACTACAGTCTGTAATTGTAGAACTACAAAGTGCACCTATATAGTAAGTGGAGCTGATAAAATGGACAATGAGTGTAGAAACAAGGAGGTGGTCATAATGTTATGCCTGATCGGTGTATGTACTCATAACTGATTTGCATTTCATGTTTTATTCATAGTTTGCTTGACAGTTTATGATGTAATATGACAATACTTATAGTAGCACATCAGCGTTCTTTAAATGACAAGATTTACAGTATTTCCAGACAGATCTTGGTGTGTCACTTACCTTCGGCAGGTTAGATGAAGGAGTTTCCTTCTCCTTAGAGTACTGTGGGGTCTTGCTTGACTGGCTATAATTGACGTGGGTGGATGATAAAAGACTGTGTTCAGTCATTATTTAAACAGCTTATGCAGTGATTGTGCACTTCAAATGGAATTATTTTCTAATTAAACAGGTGACCTGTTATGATACAATATTTCCATGGCACTATTTGTCATTCCTACCAACAATGCCTACATTACAGTTAAACCAAACCCCACTTTGATTGGCCTCTCTCTCCTGGGATAGAAAACCATATATCATGTCAGAAAACAGCAGTGATGTTGACAGTTATCTAAACCATCAGCATTCCACAAACCACGCTTGAAGAAGTAAGAACAGGCCAGAGCAGCAGTCTCTTCAGCTAAACACGTGGATCAAAATACGGGAGCAGGAAGTAACGCTAGCTAAACATGTGGGCGACAGCTAAATATGGGGGTTACAGTGAAATATTTTGTTGGCGGTGGTGTTGTTGACTTGGCAAAAACCCCTCAGGGCACCCAACGGTCTACCACATTTGGTTCTGTTACAGCTCCTGACAGCCCATCAGTGCTTGTAGGATAATGAACAAAATGTTTTTTTTTTTCCATGTGTTAAGGACAATTTAATTCAATGAGTTCCTGCTTAAGAAGGCTCACCATAACCACTTAGCACTGTTACTGATTTTTTGCTAAGCTGCAAGTGTATCACTTCCCTTTGATTTCACTTGTGGTGGTCTTACCCTTAAAGGCTCTTTCACAATTCTTTACTTTTAGTCACTGTGGCTTTTTTGGGTTTGTTACAGAACTCTACAAAATTTTGAGAAGGTTTATTGTGGCCACATTTAATTGCCAGGCTTAACTAAGCATGTTCTTCCAAAGTGTGTCTGTGTAATAAAAATAATGTAGCATTTGCAACTATTTAAAAAAGAGACACAGCTTTTGCACAAGTCATGGTGCTTTATTTTCCAGCTGTTGTTGGCCACAGCCATGCCATACATAAGCATAGTTTTCTTTTATCCAACGGCTCATTCACTCCTTAGCTCACGTCGCTCTCACTCAGCTCCTCTGCTCCCTGCTCACACACACTCACACACTCCTCCCCTGGGTGGTTCCTAGCTCCACCCTCTACAATAAGAGTCCTTAGAAAATGAATGTGGTGCAATAAAGGCTGAAGAACACACAAACTAAAACATTTTTTGAACAATAATTTTGTCATGAACCACCTCACACAGGCTCATAATTAATTCATATTTACCTGAAGCAGTTGGTGCAAAGTGTGCACAATGTGATGCAGACAACAATGAAGAGGACGGAGGCAATGGTGATCTCAAATGAGGAAAAGGAGCCTGACATCCAGCCAAAGATAGGAGCCATCGCTCCTTATCCAAGCTCTGATATGACTGCACAGTAACAAAATCAGGACAGAAGTCAACGTTTTAGTCGTATTTACAAGGTGAGCATAAAAGCAATGCCACTGATGTAGCATTTCTACACCCAAAACTGGGCCAAGCACAAATTCTAACAGTTTTACTGCAGGTTTTGGGCCAGCCAGAGTCCAAATTTAAACCCTAGAGAGAACATTTGGTCTCACATTAACCACAAACTAGCTTGGCAGTGTTTTTCAACTGTTTGAAGCCAGCAATGCTGAGTGGAACCATACTGACTCTTTTTTTCTATAAAAGGTTGCCTGCAAGTTTACCCACAAGACTTTACCATGTAAAGAAATCAAAAAGAAAAATGTCCCATAGTAAGTTACTTTATCTGTTTGTTTAATAATTTCTTGTTAAGATGATTAAAAGCTTAATATTTTGCCTTTTGGGCTTTGCCCATTTAATGTCATCACAGTTTAGGTGAAATTGTTTGTATAAGTTGTATTTTAACCTTGCTAAAACTTGCTGAAGGGGAAATGTTGGCTAAATAGTATCAAATAAGCAATAAAAAAATCACAAAAGAAAACAATGGAGAGATGCATATATAGGCTGTACATTACGGTTCAAAGGTTATACTAAATGCACTATGTGAACAAAAGTATGTGCACCGATCAGGCCTGACATTATGACCACCTCCTTGTTTCTACACTCATTGTCCACTTTATCAGCTCCACTTACTATATAGGTGCACTTTGTAGTTCTACAGTTACAGACTGTAGTCCATCTGTTTCTCTGCATACTTTGTTAGCCCCCTTTCACCCTGTTCTTCAGTGGTCAGGACCCCCATGGACCCTCATTCTCAGCACTGCGGTAACACTGACGTGGTGGTGGTGTGTTAGTGTGTGTTGCGCTGGTCTGAGTGGAGTTTTTAAACACCTCAGTGTCACTGCTGGACTGAGAATAGTCCACCAACCAAAAATATCCAGCCAACAGCGTCCTGTGGGCAGCGTCCTGTGACCACTGATGAAGGACTAGAGGATGACCAACACAAACTGTGCAGCAGCAGATGAGCTATCGTCCCTGACTTTACATCTACAGGGTGGACTGACAAGGTAGGAGTGTCTAATAGAGTGGACAGTGAGTGGACACAGTGTTTAAAATCTCCAGCAGCACTGCTGTGTCTGATCCACTCGTACCAGCACAACACATACTAACACACCACCACCACGTCAGTGTTACTGGTGGAGGTGGTCATAATGTTATGCCTGATCAGTGTATTATATATATATAGCCACACTACAATCCCCAGCATGCACTGCAATGTAAAGTGCACTCCCACCCCCCTCCGCCAACAACAATCTTTGGGTCAGCGCTTGCAGCAAAATTCTACCACACCAGTCCTAGAAAATAGAAAATTAAAATAATTAATTAATAATTTTGCAAGCCTGATAGGATGGGGTGAGATCTGGTCTCGTGGCTGATTTGTGGTCAATAGGATATGGTCCAAACAAAAGAGTCCAAAACATCATAAATACTATAAACCATAAATACTATAAATGGTATACTACTATTAGTAGTACATTTATTAGTACAGTATAGTATAGCATAGTGCTGTGTGTGGTTTCGGATGCCGCAGGTGTCAACTATTACATATTTCAGTAGCACATAACAAGCTTACCGCTGGTCACATGTCATGGCTTGTCATAGCAGGTAAACAGGAAGCAGCATTAGGGTCTGGTAGAAAATCAGTGCTGTTTCTCAGCCCATTCTTCACTATGAGCCTTCAGCTTTTATGACCACCACAGTGGACTCAATTAACACCTGTTATCTACGTTTGCAAACATGCCAGTTTAGCACTTTACAAATCAAATTTGAACCGCATTTGGTTCTGTCACAGCTCCTGACAGTAGAATAATGAATGATTAATGTTTTTCCCATGAGCTAAAGACCACTTCATTCAATAAACTCCTGCTTAAGGGGGTCCACCACTAACCAGTTAGAGCTGTTACTGATTTTTGGCTAAGCTGCAAGTGTATCACTTCCCTTATGTGATACATGGTTAATGTATGTTGTCAGATAACACAATTTCTATGCCCTATAATATTCTTCCAGCCTTGAGATCCTGATAAAAGCTCATCTTGAGCACAATTCATGTACCTGAATCATGACATTCATCAATTCAGACTTCCATAAAATCCATAAAAACAGATTTAAACATCAATTAAATTTCACCTCAAGTCATTAAGTAAGGAATGTGCCATCATAGAATTATGCCAAGGTTAGCATAGTCATAAACACCATCCCAAGTTCTTGCTTGAGATTTAGAAAATGGTTTAAAAAACCTAACAAAGGCATATAACGCTGGCAAACTGAGGACCGACAGCCTGAAGGTTTCTGCTGTTTTTAATGGCTTCAGCTATCTGACAACACACAGTAACTATGTTAATGTTTGACAACCATCTTGCATTCCAGGTCACACCTCTAATTTAACACAACATAAAGAGAAAGAAGTACAGGAATGTCAGGCGTATTCATACAAAAAAAAAAAACAAAGGCGGCAGTGAGAAATGCAGTTGCACTGAGGTGTCCATTTGACACAATTCAAACAATTCGAATGTGAACTATTTGTTCATCTACTGCATTGGATGGACCTCATTCACCAACATCTTCCTGTTTCTTCTTAAATGTGTTCTTGAGAAAGGTCCTAAGAAAAAGCCTACGTCAGATTCATGACGTGTTCTTAAAGCGCAGAACTGTTCTCACCTTTGTGATCTCGAGTGTGTGTAGATTCTGTTCTTAACTAAGAACAAATCCCAAATAAGAAAACACTGGTCAATATCAGGATCTTCATGAAAACTGCGTAAGTGGGTATTAAGAAGAAATTTCTTCTTAAGAACGATGAGTGAATGAGGCCCAATGTCTACTAAAAGGCTACCGCAACCTCCAAGAGCCTGTTTCTGATATTTAAAGTGCCTGAATTTCAGTCCAGTATATACATGACTAAAACACAAAGCAAGAAGTTCCTCAAAATAAATTTCACACAGTTTAGATATTAACACGTTAGGCAGATTTGCAACAATAAGCTAGAATCGGTTGGAAAGTGTCTTACCTGTGGCCTTGGTGGCATCAGGACTAGCTTACCTGTCACCACCCAAACTTGTCTGTCGATTTTGTAAGCCTACCTGTCCTCAAATTCAAAAACATACCTCACCACTCCCGTCTTTCTGTTGTGTAATCCTTAAGGTTCATTATCTCTGTGTGGAATTTGCTTCAGTGACTGAGACAGGTGAGTGCAAATGTTGCCATGTTGACAATGTAGACAACCACTGGCCAGTGAACACTGGAATAATATAAAGTTAAGTCATACATACATATAAAACATCTCTGGCATTTGAATGGTTCTTCTAAAGAGCTCAGTGACTTTAACCCCTTAAAATCTCAGGCTTATTACATACTATAGCTTATTATTCAGTAACTACGCTGGCTGAGCTATTCTTAGGTTATAGAAGTATGCAATAAAGCTTCGGGCTCTCTGAGAGGCCCTGGCAATTTAAGGGGTTAAACATGGCACTGTCACCTTTGTCACAAGTCAGTTTGTGAAATTTCTTCCCAGCTAGATCTGCCCCAGACAACTGTAAGTGCTATCATTGTGAAAGGAAAGAGTTTAGAAGCAGCAACACCTTAGCCTTGAATCAGTAAACCATGCAAACTCAGATTGGGGCTGCCAAGTGCTAAAGTCCCTAGCATGTATAATGTAATAATAATAATATAATAATAATAATAATAATAATCTTAATTTATTTAGCACTTTTTAGGCTGGTAGCAGCTCAAAGTGCTTTACAGACAGGTGATAAAGCTTAACATTAATACAAGAAATTATGAGTATTTAAAATCATATCAGAAAATGACACAGATCAAATTACGAGATAAAAACCAGGAGGCATAGAGTTTTAATGAAATGCTAAGTTAAAGTAATGTTTTTAGATGCTTCTGAAAAGTGAGCACTGAGCTTGACTGTCTAATAAAAGGTGGAATTGAGCTCCACAGTTTAGAAGCAGAATAACTGAAAGAGGCCTCTTCACACTTTCTGTATTTAACAGAAGGTGTTTGTAGAAGGCCACTATCTGCAGATCTAAGATGACATGTTGGAACATAAACAGACAGACACTCTGTGATGTAATTGGTGATTTAAGGTCATTTAGGGCCTTAAAAACTAGTAGCAGAAGTTTAAAGTCTATTCTGAAAAATACCGGCAGCTCTTTCAAAATAGACGTATTATGAGCTATTTTTTCCTGTTGGGATGTGTGCTGTCACATTTTGTATAAGTAAAAAAGATAAAAATCGCCTGTTTTCTGTTGCATCACTCACTACAGAGTTCCAAATTGCATATGGAAGGTACAGGAACTGCGCACTGGAAGCTTCATTAAATGGGTTTCCATGGCCGAGCAGCTGCACACAAGCTTAAGATCACTATGCGCAATGCCAAGCGTCAGCTGAAGTGGTATAATGCACACCACCAATGGACTTTGAGTGGTGTAAATGTGTTCTCTGATGAATCATTCTTCATCATCTGGCTGTCTGATGGATGAATCTGGGTTTGGCTTAGTTCCAGTGAAGGGTGATGTTAATGCTACAGCATGCAGAGATATTTTAGACAATTATATGCTTCCAACTTTGGGGCAACAGTTTGGGGAAGAGCCTTTTCTTGTTCCAGCATGACTGTGCGCCTGAGCTCAATAAAGCTATAGTATGACGAGTTTGGTGTGGAACTCCAGTGGCCTACACAAAGCCCTGACCTCAACCCCACTGAAAACTTTTGGGATGAGCTGGAATATCAATCGTGAGCCAGGCCTTCTCATCCCTTCAGTGCCTGACCTCACAAATGGTTTTCGACTGAATGGGAAAAGATTGCCGCAGAATTCCCATTACATGAAACACGGCTGCCCTCTAAAGGATCACTTGAGCATTGCACGTTAATAGACTAATAATCTGAACCACAGTATAAAAGGGCTGAATAAGGCAGTTCAGCATGATTACGTTTGCTTGCAGCACCGTTTGTCATTTCATATGTGTGAAGATGTGCACCGGAAAAAATTATGCTTTGAGTTTGTACCTGATTCAAATCTGTCATTCTGTTGTGAATGAATATGTTACATCAACATCATTTAGTCTTTTAATTGACGTCTTTTAGTAAAAAGTCATTTTATTCATGTTCAGCCATGTTTGAATTATGTATATTCAAGTCAGCAATTTTTTCCAGTGTGTGGAAGTTAAAGGGAAACCTCCCTGTGGGATTTCTGTAGGCCAGGTTTCTAAATCTAAATCAACCACAAACCTCCCAGCTTAGGCCTAATCCACTGAAAACATTTTCACAAAGACAGTATTGTATTCACAGTACAAAAGAGCACCAGTTGGTAACTAAATCTTTCGTGTTGGGACCGAAGTCAGAATACAGTCAGTGTTGTGGGGCTACAAAGGAAGAGCAAGAGCTACAGTTGGGAAGAATAGTCATGTATAGTGCTGGGGTTACAGGTTTACTCATGCTGCAGCTAAAATACTTCTGGAGCAATTTGGATTTGCCCCCAATAAATTTCTGACCAGATCTACATTGCAAATTACATGTTTTGTTGATTTTGAAAATAAGTTAATACATCCTGTACAGGGAACAAACTTAAATGTGGTATTATTCTGCACATTTTCTATTGTCTTTTAGTGCACAATTTTTATTGTCTTCTATTTACTGAGCTTAGCCACAGTTGTATAAAACCAAGCACTGAGCCGTGCAGTCTGCCTTTATAAGCATTTGTGGAAGAATGGGTCGTTCTAAAGAGCTCACTGGATTCGAGTGTGGTACCGTATTAGGATGCCACCACTGGAACAAGTCAGTTCATGAAATCTCTTCCCTACTTGATACTCCACAATCAACTGTGAGTGGTATTATTGAAAAGGGTAAGTGTTTAGGAACCACAGGAACTCAGCCACAAAGTGTCAGACTGCGTAAAGTTACAGAGCAGGTCACCGAGTGCTGATGAGCATAGAGCATGAAAGTCACCAAATGCTCTGCTGACTTAATAACTGCAGAGCTCAAACCTCCTCTGGCATCAACATCAGCACAAAAACTGCGCTGGGAGCTTCATTCCATGGGTTTCTTATATCACCAAGCATGGTGCCAAGTGTCAAATGCAGTGGTGTAAAGTACATCACCACTGGACTCTGGAGCAATGGAAACGTATTCTGTGGAGTGATGAATCACACTGTCTGTCAGTCTGATGGGCGAGTCTGGGTTTGGCGAATGCCAGAAGAATGTTACCTGCTTGACTGCATTTTGCGAACTGTAAAGTTTGGTGGAGGAGGGATGATGATATGGGGCTGTTTTTCAGGGGTTGATCTAGAACTCTTAGTTCCAGTGAAGGGAAATCTTAATGCTTCAGCAGATCAAGACATTTTGGACAACTGTGTGCATCCATCTTTGTGGGAACAGTTTGGGGAAGAACCTTTTCTGTCTCAGCATGACTGAGCCCCAGTGCATAAAGCAGCTCCATAAAGTCCTGACTGGGTGAGTTTGGTGTGAAAGAACTTGACTGGCTCATGCAGAGCGCTGACCTCAACCCCATCGAACACCTTTGGCTTGAGCTAGAATGGAGTTTGCGAGGCCCTGTCATGGATTGGGAGCTGTTATAGCTTCAAAGGGTGGAGGCAACTCCATATTACTGCCTATGTATTTAGAATGGGATGTCATAAAAGATAGGTGTAATGTGTAGGTGTCCCAATACTTTTGTCCATGTAATATGTGTGTGTGTGTGTGTGTGTGTGTGTGTGTGTGTGTGTGTATTGGTCTCCTCACTTCCCAGACGTTTACAGACTGTTGATAATAAAAGAAGAGGGGATGCTACATAATGGTAGACATGGCCCTGTCCCAACCTTTCTGAGATGAGTTGCTGCCATCAAGTTAAAAAAAGTCTCACTTTCAACATCTGATATGTGTTCTATGTTCTATTATGAATAAAATATGGGTCTATGGGTTTTGCAAATCATTGCATTCTGTTTTTATTTACATTTATTTAAATTTTACACAACATCACAACTTTTTTGGAATTGGGGTATATTGTCATTCAACATATGAAACTAATGTGTACGTTATCTTAAAGTAAAAGTGAGCTTTTCAGCCTTAGCTTTTACACACAGAGCTTTCTCCAGATTCCCTGAATCTGCTGATGTTATTATGCACCATAGAGGGACCTTAAAATCCTTGCAAATGTTTGCAGAGAAATGTTATGTTTAAACTGTTGAATTTTAGCAGACTCATTTTTGGCTTAGTGGTAAGCCTTGACCCATCCTTGCTACTGCTGGATGCTCCTTTTATATCCAAGCATGAATGTATCACCTGTGCAAGATGTTTATTTTGAACATTCACTTTGTTCCTAGTCTTAAATTGCCCCATCCCAAGTTTTTTGGATCGTTTTGCAGGCATCGATTTCAGAATGAACATATACTTACAAAAAACAATTAAGTTAAGATAAAACATTACATATGTTGTCTTTGTACTGTTTTCATTCAAATGCAGGTGAAAGTAGATTAACAAATCACAGCTTTCTGTTTTTATTTGCATTTCACATAAAAAAGTTGACCCGACTTCTGTGTATTTGTGTAGAAATGGTAACTTTACAGGAGAAGGAAAAAAAATACTTTACTTTTAATGTGAGTCAATGGAACCAGACTTTTTTCCAAGTCATTTTGGGCCATTTCTTTTGGTCCATTCATCATGAAATTTACGCACAGTGTAAAGGGCAACAGGCACTTTCAGATCATGACAAAACCTGAAAAACGACAAAAATGGAGATACAAGGTTTTGTTCTGACAGCAGCGATATATATATATGCATAAACAAAATTCAACACACAAAATTTCAAATTTCTCATTTCAACATATGAGCCCCAAGTTAAAATACATTTTTTTCTTATTCTTGTGTACAACAAGACATAAAAACTGTTTTAAGTATTGTTGAATGATCTCATTTAATAATTTGTCATTTACAGTTTCATCTCAGAATTGTGCAAATTCTTTTGAGCTGATTTGTGCATAATTGCACCATTTTTTAAAATCAATATTCTCTAAGACATGCAACACATCCTTCAAGTCTCTACTGTAAACTCTTGCAAAACACCCAGACCTGAAACACAGTTGTATTCAAGGAGGTAAAGATCTCTTACTTCACCCCCCAACCGAGGTAATAATGATTTGATTAATCAAATACAGTACACTGCGAATAGAATGTAAGGACCAACACACTCATTAGCATATCGTGATATTTTCAGCCATACACAATACTTACATGCATATATGTATGTGATGGGTAAATGTGGTTTCTGTGAAACTTGAAAAGCTGAGCACTTGGTGTTCTGAAGCAAACCTAACCAAGTAATCTGCTCTGCTGCTCTTCTGAGCCAGCATCTGATTGGCTCTTTGGCAAAAGCAGTCTCTAGGAGTCTTGCATTTGCTGAATGCAATATAAAAGTGACTTCTTTGTTCAACCATCCCACCCCCGATTGCAACACGCCCAAATCCAGCTCTTACAATTATTCCTTCTTTCCTTTTTTATTAGCCCCAGGCTAAAAAGGCTTTGTGGCAAATAGGTCACTCTGCCAGACATGCATAAAGCTGGGCCATGAGGGAATTCTGGCTAAGCCATAGATTATACACACCGGCCTCATCATGAGAGCGAGACTACTAAGCTTTATTACATAAACTGATTATGAATGTTACCAATAACCGTCCTTAATAAGACTTTTCCCTCAAGAACCATAGTATTTGAAGAGCACTAGGTATGGCCATACCTGAGCCTACATGGGTTTAAAATCCAAGGGGTTTCCTGCCTTCCACCTAATGAGTGTTGGGACAGGCTTCAGCAGCCCCCATCGCAACCCAGGAGGATAAGCGGCTTAGATGATGAGTGAGGGAGTAAATGCATACATACATGAGTAAGTCATACATTGTTAAGTCATCTCAAATAGACTTGCTCACGCGGTTCCTGACAATGCATGAAACACTGTTGTGTATAAAAATGGACTAAAGTATGTAGCATAACTAAAAACAGAGGTAGCAACTACCATGAAGGCTTTGTATGTACCATACATTTGAGGTAAGGGGACATTTGTGTAAATTCAGTTAATGCAGTCATGGGTAGGTATGACACTAGGTGGCCAATCAGTTATATCAGTGGTTCAGTTAACTACCAGTGGCTATAAAACATGGGACCGTAAACTGCAGACCTTTGTCCTAGTTGGTACACATTTTTGCTGTATTTCAGCTCTCAACACACCAGAAATAAACAATCAAAAACACTGAAGACTTAGTGGAGGTGTGGGCGGAGCTGGAACAGAGCAAAAATGTGGAATTCCCACAACCGTATGTCAGTCTCAGTCTTTCTTCACTCCTTCTTCTGTAGCTGCCTTTGGACTCTCCTTCGCATTAGACCTGCTGTTAGAATACTGCATAGCACGAGGACAACGAAAGAACCTCCAGCTAGCAAGATGGTCCACTCCCCATGCACTTGCACCACGAAGCGCCGCTGCGTCAGGAAGTCCTTGCACAGCGCCTCCATCTGGCACATGGTGCACATGACAAGGAAGAAGTGGAAAATTTGGTGGCCGTGGCCTATAATATCACACCTTCCCGGAAAGAAGCGCTCCGGCACTGGGCAGGAGAAGAAGAAAGCAGCCTGCATGAAGAAGGCCACCTGCAATGCATGCAGCACCAGCTCTGTCTCATCCCAGGCCCTGGCGGCCAGTCGGTAGGCCACTGGACTGATGCCCAGCAGGTAGGCCAGGCTGGTCGGCACCATCTGGAAGAGCTTCCTGCGGAACGGGTAGGGCCGGCGGTAGCGTAGCTTTGCAAAACAGCAGCTTGTGCACGATAACCAGCCTAGCAAAGCTGCTCCGGGCAAGAACATCACCCCCACAAGGCTCTGCCTCCACGGCTCCTCGGAGGAGTAGAAGTAGTGGGCCAGTGCACAGCCATATTGGTATGTGGCCACGCCCACATAGTCCAGGAAGAAGAGGGAGTAGTGTGCTAGCTCAGAGTGTGACTGCAGCAAGTGGGCGGCAGCACTAAAGCTGAGGTAGGTAAGGGCTGACAAGATGTAGAGGCAAAGAGGTAGTGAGGAGGCGTCTGGATTCAAGTCACTGGAGGCGGCGAAGAACCAGAAGCGCAGCAGCACGGCAAGGACCGCCAACAGGTGTGTCCACACGTTCAGGGACTCGTTATGCTGCTGGAAGAGGCTTAGTATATAGCAGCGCCATGGCTGGCCCAGCGGCCGGTAGCCCGACAGGATGTAGGGCTCACGGAACAGGATGGGAACGTCCGAGGCAGGGAGCGTGGGCTGGGGGGATGGCAGGGAGGGCAGGGAGTGGGACAGGCGGGGTAGGCCGGCCAGCTGTTTTATGCTGAGGGTGAGGGTGCTAACCCAGCCTAAAGCTCCACTTGACATGGTGGTGGGTTACAGAGGAAATGACAACAGCAGGAGAGACAAACCGGTGTGGAAGCGAAAAGGTGCCCTTGGGTGTGCTGCAGAAAAAGAGAGACGAGTGAAGTATGAGGGTAGGTGATATTTACAGCAAAAGCAAAATGTTAGTCATGACTACATCCACCTGCACCTTGAGTCTAAAAACCCATTAGGAACGCCATCTGTTATACAAGTTATACTTATCTGCCCAACACAAGGCCTCTACATTAAATGATTCACGATTTATAGGTTCAGTAGGGTGACTCAGTTTTTCAGGTAAACACAAAGCATGATAACAGACTCACATCAAATGGAAATTTGCCTTCCCTGTCTTATGCATCACGCCGACATAACCACAACCTCTACATACCGAAGTGGGCAGTAGGTATTATCTAGCTGCCACACCTATCTGGCTTAATGGCAGGTCTTTTGTCTTTTCTTTGACAGGCAACATCTAAGTGTCATTTAAAAGAATTACTGCATTATAGTGGAAATGCTTGGAGCTGGGACACCAGTAAGTTTTAGAGAAGCTCAAAGCACTTTAGAGCTTCTTCACTATTTATCTTTTTTAGCAGATGATGGGTTAAACTCTATTTTCATGCAATATTTCACACAGTAACCCCTTTTACTCTAAACACAGAAATGTAATAATTTAACTTAAGAAACACAGTTGCATTCAAAAAAAGTGAGCCAGCTAGTGAAGAAAATGATTTATCCTATTCATTAGACTGTTAGCTTAGCTGTCGTGCAGGACATTTGACAGACATACGACTCACCTGCCTCTGGTATTTGACGACACCTTAAGGACACCAGCTAGTCACTGTCGGTAGAATAATCTTACTCCTGTTCCTGATTCCTATCTAGTGTTGGTCGGTATGCAGGAGCCCACATTGTCCCTAGTGACAGAGTGAGCTGGTCTCTCGGCAATCCACAGCTGATCTGCAGAAGAGAACAGCAAGTCGAGCAGGTTCAGGAGTTGGGAGGGGCTACAAGTTTCACGTGGCTGAGAGTTGGTCTGAATGGGAGCACTAAAGTGTCAAGCCAGCCTTTTACCGATATGTCTTTAAACGTGTAAACTGGGGACAATAAATGACACAGTAACTGAAAAAATATAACTTTAACAGTAAACAATTGAACAATTAGAAACAGTTTCAAAATATATACCTTTATGTACATGCTTTTTTTATTTAGTTAGTTTTTACACAATCTTTTTTGGGATTTATTTATTTTGCCATGCATATTCATTTACATTTACAGCGTTTAACAGACCCTCTTATCCAGAGCGACTTACAAAAAGTGCTTTGTTGTCTAATCAGAGAAAGTATCTTTGCTAGTTACAAATAGGTTAGAGAGAAAGTTCATCCTGAGCTCAGATACTGCTAGAAACAAAAGCCGATGTTGATACCCAGAGAAAAAGAAACAGCGTTAAACACAGCGCAGTGCAATTCAATAAATACTCAGTGCTCTCTTAAGTGCTGAGATGTGTCTTCAGTCTGTGTTTGAAGACCGCGAGAGACTCTGCTGTTCGGACAGCGAGTGGGAGTTTGTCCCACCACCCGGGTGTCAGGACAGAGAAAAGTGTTGATGCTTGTCTTCTACGCGTCTTGAAGGATGGCGGGTCAAGCTGAGCTGTGCTTGAAGCTTGAAAGGCTCGAGGTACAGTTTGAGTTTTGACCATTGCCATCAGGTAGGGGGGACTGGTCTGCTTTTGGCTTTGTAGGCAAACATCAGGGTTTAAATCTGATGCGTGCAGCTACAGGAAGCCAGTGAAGGGAGCGCAGCAGTGGAGTGACGTGACTGAACTTATGAAGATTGAAGACGAGCCGTGCTGCTGCATTCTGGATGAGTTGCAGAGGCTTGAAGGCCTGCATAGGAAGACCAGCCAAGAGTGAGTTGCAGTGGTCAAGCCTTGAGATGACAAGAGACTGAACACTCAACAAAACTAATTCTATCTCCCTAACTTTTTCTGAGTAAACGACTGCCCACCTGCTGGACGGACACTGATGGATGATTGTCTGCGAAGCTCTCCTGCTACCCGCTTCAGACCAGTTGCCCACGCCCCAGTCGCCGCCACTTGCCCAGCTACCGCCACTTGACTTGGACTAGCTGCCCACTCCCACTCTACACTGAAGTTTTCATGGACTCCTAACTACTACTACTACTACTACTACTATTAATATTAGTAGTATAATAATTTTGTAGGTAGTTTGACCAGAGGAGGATGGGTCCCCCCATGTGAGCCTTGGTTCCTCCCTGGCTTGCTCACTTGGAGGATTTACATTTCATGTTAAAACTTTGTCTTTAATGGATTTCTGTGAAGCTGCTTTGTGACAACATCAGTTGTAAAAAGCGCTATACAAATAAATTTGACTTGACTTGACTTGAACGAGCACCTGGGTGGCCTCTCGAGTGAGGAAGGGTTGAATCCTCTGGATGTTGTACAGGAGAAACCTGCATGACCGAGTCAGGTTCGCAATATGAGCTGAGAACAATAACTCACCATCCAGAATCACACAGAGACTTCTTGCCTCTTCAGACGGAACAATCAGAGAGTTCTTGAATGAGATGGCGAGATCATAATGAGGACCTGTAGTTGCAGGGATGAATACCAGCTCAGTCTTGCTAGGATTGAGCTTCAGGTGCTGAGCTGCCATCCATGAAGAGACGTCAGTCAGACATGCCGAGATGCGACTGGAAACCTGGGTATCTGAAGGTGGGAAGGAAAGCATTAGTTGAGTGTGATCAGCAAAGCATATTCACATTTATTATTTATTTACACATAAATATATTTGCAAATGTTACAAATGCACATTTACTTTATATTTGGTTCACTTAAAAAATAGTAATCAACCCACAAAATATAAATTGTTGCATTTGCAAAAGGTGTGAAATCCTTGGCAGTACTTGGCAACATTCCGTCTTGGCAGATTGCAAATGCTTTCTGTTGCCAGCTATGAGTCTTTCTATTCTTTTTTTAGGAATTTTTTAATTACTCTTCCTTGCAGAACCCTTCTAGTTCTGCAAGATTCTCGGGCCATCTTGCATGAACACCATGTTTGAGATATACCCACAGGCTTTCAGTGGTGTTTAAGTCAGGTAACTATGAGAGCCATTCCAAAAGCTTCAAATTTCATTTCTTCAAGACGTTCATGGAGGATGTTGAGGTATGTTTTAGATGTTTGGATTGGATCCTGTTGTAGAAGATGGCCTCTTTTCAGCTTCAGTTTTTTTGACTGACTGTGTCACATTTGCTTCCAGATTTTGCAGATATTTAGTACTGGCTGCCACACAACACCAAAGCATAATAGATCCCTCCCTGTGCTTAACAGTTGGCAAGGTGTTCTTTTCATCAAATTCTGCTTCTTTTTTTTCTCTAAACATATCTTCAGTGATGTTATGCCTCTGGCTTTGAGATGTTGTTTTGCATTCTTCAGATGTTCATTTTTGACTATTCTCTAACAAGTCAACTTGTAAGACCTAACAAGTTAAATAAACTGAAAGTATGTCCATTTTTATATATGCCCCATTTACCATTTTATGTTTTTTTTATATTTTTGAGCTAATCAAATGTAAAATAACTGTGCATTAACATTTACAGGAAATGTTTTGTTTAAATTTTTTTGCTATAGAAGTTTACATTTGTGATTACATAGTGTTTACATTTTTTCACTTCAAAAATCGAAAAAATATCTTATTTGGCCAGGGGTATCCAAACTTGTGTATACGACTATATTTCTTCTTTAAAAAAAAAGGACAAAATCATATGCGCAAGGTTCTAAACGCAAGTAAATGAAGAAAATAGTGACCATACAATCAGTAGTCTACACCACAAAACAATGCACAGTGATACCAGACAATACAAGACAATTCCCATTTATTTTTGCATTTATTAAGTCATTTTTTGCTTTATGTTTTAATATCTATTCCTGCTTATCTTGGCAAAATCAGAGTAGTTTTGTTTGATTTTTTATTAAAATGTGCTTATTGTTAAACATTAAGAAAACATATTACATCCACACAACCATTGCTAAAGGTTTATAAACTGAGAGATAAAATTCTGTTGATATAGTTTATTAACGTGGAAATTATGTTCACATTTGAACCAAGTAAATTGAATGCCTCATTTTTTCAGTGTGAAGTGTTAATAAATCGAGTTTGGCTGTTTTTCCTTATTCACTTCTGTTTCATTGTTATTACATGTGTACGCAACTGCATAGTGTAACAGACACCAGTGGTGCATGAGTGCGACATGTGGTAAGCATTCAGCATGTACTGAATATAGACTCCATGTACAACTTCATGATGGAAAATGCATTAGGAGCACAGCAGTAATAAAAACTGTAAGTACAATGATGAGATCAATGAAGTGTGGTAGTGTATCAAGTTGAATCAAGTAAATTGATTGCATTGCTTTGTTCAGTGCATAAATCACATTGGATGGTTTTGAACTGGATGTTCGAGATCTGCTTTCAGGATGGGGAGGGGGGCACGTTTTGTGACTAGACATAAAGAGTGACTTTCATAGTGATTCTGTAGACTTTTCTCAGTTATCTTCTCATTATCTTTTAAATATTTTGTCGGTATGAGTGTGAGCACTTACATTTGAAGAAAAATATTACTCCAGGCCCAGCACATTACAGTGCCTGGATAACAGGATACGAAAAATACAGGCACATGTAGCTCTAGTCCAGGGGTCGGCGACATGCGACTCTTTTACTGGCCTGTTATGTCTCCACAGCAGAATTAGATTTTTAGTTGAAAATAAAATAATCCTTCTTTGCAGTAAAATAAAGCTCTGCTGATCGTTCAACACAGTTTTAACAATGAATGGTCTTAAACGCTGGAGTTAATGTAGGCTATATCTGCTGATTTACTGACCTTTGACCCTGAAGGTTGGTGCGCAGACTGCTAGCCACCATAGCAACGCATACAAATCTTGCCTAGCTAGTAGCTAAAGAAACGGCGAAGATAAAGATTCAAGATGA